CAAACAGTCAACACTGTGAGTGTGTACAGATCACCCTCTTTAATCACTGTGGTGTATACACATTGTGGTTCTTTCTGTGGTACAATGAATGGCGGTGGTTATTTTACCTGACTGGCTAAGAAAGCATAAATGCTTGTAAGTAAGCAACCAGACGGCCGACGGCTTTACGTCCTCTCCGAAGGGACCCGGTAATGAGGATTAATGCCTTACCAAAGGGCACTGGCGCATCGCCTTGGTTTCGAAGCCGGGTCACCGGATTACGAGACCACTGCTCATAATAGTGTCTGACTATGATTGACAGTGTGACTACTGTGTTTCCAAACAGTAAATACTGTGAGCGCTTTAATCACTGTGGTGCATATCAGTACACTGTGGTTTATTTCTGTGGTCATATTTCGTCACACAATGTCATACGATGTGAACACGGTGTTTCCATGAAGTCAACATTGCCCCACTATGGCCTGTCCACACTGTGTTCCTTTCTCTGTTTATGTATAGTGCCTCACAAAATCAAACAGCGTGAACACACTTCTTACATAATGGGAAAGTGTTCACATCCCTCGTTATGATCACTGTGGTGCGCAACCAAGCACTGTGGTTCTTTATGTGATCCCATAGTGCCACACAATACCATACAGTATGAACACAGTTCTTACATAATTACAATAGGAGAGTGTTCACATCCCTCGTAATATGATCACTGTGGTGCGCAACCAAGCACTGTGGTTCTTTATGTGATCCCATAGTGCCACACAATACCATACAGTATGAACACAGTTCTTACATAATTACAATGGGTGAGTGTTCACATCCCTCGTAATATGATCACTGTGGTGCGCAACCAAGCACTGTGGTTCTTTCTGTGGTCCCATATAGTGCCACACTATAAGAGTGTTCCAACTCCTCTCATGAGTCACACAGTGTGATGCATACCTAGTTTTATCAGGCGTATAAGCATAGTTTGTCACACGAAGTCAACGCTACCCTAAATAGGTACGAAAATCTCGAAATTCGCGAGACGAGGTAATTTTCACTCTCTCGGGTCGTCACTACAACTTCCGGTATAGAGTCCCATCCCAAGTCACGGCCTTCATCCACCCCCATTTTTCAGGGTTCTTACGCTTGGAATCATGTGCCCAGCACTGTGCAGCCTCACAAAAGAAAACCATCGTCACTGATGTCAAAAGACGCAAAAAACAACGAATGAAATGTTCAAATAAACGTTGAAATATTTGCGAAAAAAAACACAAGACCGAGCAGACGACATATTCGGTGCATACACGTTGTGTGGCGACGGCGTTTTACGTTTGCGCTATCGCGCCGCCTGCACAGGAAGCTGTAATGTCGAAAAGCTATCCCATAATGCAATGCGCGTTTTCAGGATTTTCCCCGGATCTCGGCAGAATCGCTATTTGGGGTAGCGAGAGTGTTTCAAATCGTCACTGTGGTGCGTACGGTATAGGATTATGTAGCCACCGTGTATAACGTTGTGTCGAACAGTGTGAACGTTGTGTGTAAACGCAATAATACTATGATAATTATTCAGATCAAACATTCCGATCAAACGTTCAGATCAAAGTTAACATTGTGTTAACAATATACGCCGTTTTGTTGGGGCGGGGGGGGGGGGGGGGGTGTTGGCAGCGCTGGTGTGTTCAAACCTAATGGTATAATGTGGGACCAGGATGATGACGATGGTAGTGGTAGTGGAGGAGGTAGTGGAACAAAAACAGTGCCAAGGAGCTGGAATACATACAAAGTACTGACTGTGATCTTAATTTTAGGTTTATTAATGTCTCGGCCGAATGGCTGACTTGCAATGAGTTAAAACAAGAACTGCGATATTAGTTCATAACAATGGCTTTGAAACTGAATCAATACCATGAAAAGGTGAATTTCAATGTGATATATACAATGTATTTAAAAAAAGAAAAAGAAAAAAGCAGAAGATTAAAGGTAAAAAAATAAAGAAAAAATAAAGAAGAAGAAGAAGAAGAAGAAGACGGTGATGATGAGGAGGAGGAGGCGGAGGAGGATGAAATTGACTAGAAAGAGAAGGAGGAAAAGAAGGCGCAAGATAATTATAAACATGATAATAATCATTGTAACGATGGTACGTGTAAAACAATTATTGATTTCCACCCCTGATGCGCCTCCTTTGGAAAATTGCTCCTTGAGTCTCAGTAATTGAACCTGTAAACTATTTCATCCGAGCCTACCACCATGACCGTCTTAAATCGAAAAGAAACAACACTCTCTATGTAAAATCATGGAAGTCTGAAGACTCGGTTTAGGATTAAAATAGAAGCTTTGCGAAACCGATGACTAAATCAGCGAATTTAAGTCAAATAAGTCGATTTATATGCAGACGAATTTATCGCTGAAACCAAATAATCTGTCGACATTATATTCAGCCAAAAAGTATTAAAAGAAATTGTTCGATCATGATTTTCTTTAAAGAAATACATCAGGCAATTCCGTCGCTTTAATTCATTTTTGGAAATAATTTCGCTAAGCCATGTATAAGCCTAACGAACATCATTTTTTCTTGTATAGGGCGGATCGAAATTTCAATCAGGTTGGCCTAGTATTTGTCCCAAATAGATCTACCAGGAAAGTCATGAACAGTGGCGTATCAAGAAATTGATAAAAGAGGGGGGGGGGGGGGGTGGGGGGAGGGGGGGTTGTGGAAATATTCTATATGCTAACCATCCTGCGATTTTCATTTTGAAATTCAAATGTGCCAAAGACTTCTGCTGCTACTTCCCGTATTGACATTGTTTTGTTTTCGCAGCTGTTTATGCTAGCCTAGAATATAATTTTGCACAACAGATCTACTAATGGGTTTTTCTTTGTGTTTCCTTTTCTTTTTCATTTCTTTCCTTTTTTAATATTTTTATTGCGTGGGCGAAGTGTTGTTCTGTATCTCGTTTTCCATTTCCTATCTATATCTTATCTCTTTGAAGAAGATAGAAATTAAATACTTTCCCATAGTCCACTTTTTTTCTTCTTCTTTATATTTTTCTTTATTCCTCTTCTTTTCTTGTCAATGATTTCAATCTTTCTCTTTCTTTCTTTCTCTCTCTCTCTCACTCTCTCTCTCTCTCTCTCTCTCTCTCTCTCTCTCTCTCTCTCTCTCTCTCTTTACATTTCAGGGCTTTTATATCAAAATGTTATTTCCCCCTTTTTGGTATTTTTTTGCAATTTCGTTGTCATTTTTCTTGTTTTAAACTGTTTGGGGTTTTATCCTTGCTTGATTGTTTCTTTGTAGCTATTTTCAATTTGAAATAATATAGTGCAGTCATTTGAAAATTAATGATGTACTTCGTCTAAAGGAAAATACCATTCATTAAAAATAGACCGCATTTCTAACGGCATGGAAAACAGGGGCTGGACGCGCGGCCTACTTTTTTTGTCTTTGTCGGAGTGGAGATCGAATACGCACATCAACAAGTGAGAGAGATGAACTAATTGAACTATAAGTCAACGTTGTCCCCTTGTTCGTTCAGCCAGCCACAAAGTCCAGGCTTTGATATCTAAAAACATCGAAATTATTAAATAAGAACCAGGCGAAATCCAGGCCGCGCTAAATACTTCATACCCAGCACCTGTTCTGAATGAGAGATTTACAAATCCGTTCACTCATTACGGTCTAGCTGGAGACAAGTAAGCGCGGTTAATGGTCGACTGGGTGAGAAATCATTTGCCATTGCCAATCAAACTTCACTCAAATGCTAAAGATTTCGTCAAGTGCACGTTGAAAGAAGAAGGGGGAAAGGGAAGCTGTTTCTCGCCTTTGCCCTTTTACCTGGTTTTCGAGATTTGTTTTCATTCGCATTTTAATGTTATTCTATGATTTTTCTCTCTTCCTATTTTTTCCTTTCCGCAATAGACATGTAGACCACCATAGCATGGTAGTAAAAACATTACCGATGTCTTTAGTGCGCGTAGCTGTACAAACATGGGTGTAATCCCCAATTCTTTATCCGTCAGTTTTTAATCTGAAAGAGTGCGTCGTGCGCTAAAGTGTGCGTTGATATGGCTATAGCGTGTTGATCAGAAGCAAAACACAGCAAATAAGTTTAGAATTCGAGGCCGGATTATGGTGGCGTTAAAAGACAACTAATTATTTCACAAAAGAAAACCGCTGAAGGGGGTTTCTACGTCGCAATTTGAAAGGATTGTCCGGTCAATGGCGAGCGGGGTGGAATGTTTATGGTGACCTGAGGGGACAAAACTTTACATCAAAAGTTGATCCCATTTGTCCATCGGAGGCGTCAATCGTTTTAAAATGTAATCAAAACTACTTATAAGTCCCTTTGGTTCAGGTAAGCGTTATCCCTCCTCTATTACAAACATACAAAGGCTAAAGTCTAGATTGGAGCATGCGACGGATGAGGTGATTGTAGCTCGCATTATATAGTGACTCGTCACCATAGTGATCTGGTAATGATGTGGAGAAAATGACGACAATTGTGATGATGATCATCGTGAAATTAGAAAGAAAAGAAGTGATTCATAATATCTATGTGAAATCGCCTGTATTTAAGAAGCCAATATAAGAAACAGTGCTGCCTTACAATGAAGATATAGTGATGATGTTGCTAACAGTCGTTGCTTAATTTCAGCTTAAAATATTGTTTCTCTTTTGGTAAGGGTTTTAGGGGCGGATTTGAATTATTATTATTATGGTGTTTGGACCGCGGCATGAAAAAAAGGCAACATATTTCAATTGAGTTACTGCTCCTATTGGGTAGGAGCTCGAGTCCTCGTCTGCGAAACTTCTAAATTTGCTTTCGACTGTTTCCAGTATAATTCAATCACTTTATTTATTCCCCCCCCCCCCCCCATTTACACTTTATACATTCAATGAATGGTTCATATTTCATTTCACCATATTTATTCATTTGCATATCACATTTAGGACTGCAAGATTCATTACATTATTGTGAAAACGGGGTCCTCACTCGTCTTCGTTTCTCACTGTTTTCTCCACGCAGTCGGATCTATGCCGCACCCCTTGGTTGCACCAACATGCTCGCAGTCCGGCGTTCACCCGAACCTCAGCGAGGAGATGTTGCTGGATGAGTTGGCTTATAATCGGAGACGCCAGGTTTGTGTAAGCATTCGAGCTTCCATCATTTCCAAAAACATTGAACAAGTTGGTAACTCACAGTTACTAACATTAAAGGGATTGGATATCTTTGTTTTTTTTATCAGATTCTAGAACAAACACTGGATTTAGCTCATGCTGCAATCATATTAATTATAAACATTTAGGTCAGTCAGGAATACTATGACTTTTACAAGCCGATTGTCTGTCTGATTATTAAGGTATTTTTTATTGGAAATCGAAATTTCATCTTTCATTTTCTTAACGGTTTTTATAACATTACAGTCTATTGGGGGGGGGGGGGGGTATCGTAAAACTCGTCATTCAAAGATTTTTAAAACTTTTTTGAGGCACTTCATGATCATTTTGAAGCGCAGTGTTTTTAGGGCTTTCAATATTGCACCATATACACTGATAACACGTAAGGCCATGCTTCTCACATTTAACATTTTTAAACGATGCCTTTAATCAATAAAGCTGAAATATGGTAAATGTGTAAACATTCTTACAAGATCTTGGCATATCACAGTTGGATTCATATATATTATTCTTCTCTTCTGTACATCATATCACATCATCTTCAATTTATAATGCACTTACAACTTTCCAATTTTCATCACAACCTTTTTTTGCTGACATGGTTACCAGTTTGCTATTTGGGCCGTATAGTTAAGGGAGGGGGGGGGGGAAGGTCAGATTGGGATTTGGATTTCATTTTCTTTTTCAATCTTGTGATTGGGAGAAAGTTTGACGTAATGCCATAACGCAAATTAAAGAAGACCTACACGACTTTGCGAATTATAATGTTTGTAAAATTAAATGAAAAGAACGCAAACGAACTTCAAAGCAGAGGTGCGTATTTTGTTTCGGTATATCAGCTTTCTTAAAATCGAAGCCTTGGAATATATCACAATCATTTATTTGCATACTGCCAAGTCAGAGTTTTTCACGCAACTGTTATCAGTATATTGATATTTCAAAACTGCCAAGTCAAAGTTATTCACTAAAATATTATCAGTCTATTGATGTTTTATATTTTCTTCTTCTTCACAGCGCCGAAACCGGACTACATTTACTCCGCAGCAGCTGAGTGAACTTGAAACGCTCTTTTCCAAGACACACTACCCTGATGTATTCCTCCGCGAGGACCTTGCCATGCGCATCCAGCTCACAGAAGCACGGGTTCAGGTGAGCATTGTCTGAGGTTTATCCCCACATATCAGCAAATGTTGTAGACGAATTATTGCCTAACTGTATGACTTCAGAATGATAAAGATGACGAGTGAAGTGCGAAGCATTGTGTAAACGGTTAACAAGTTTTCTAATATTTTAATTCCTATTCCACTTCGTATCTGTCATTAAATTACCCCCCCCCAAAAAAAAAAAAAAAAAAAAAAAAAATCTGTTCCACACCTGATTATAATATGTAAATATATAAAATAATTTAGAATGTTGTTCAATAATAACATAATTGTTATCATTATTATTATCATTGTTATTATTACAATTATCATTATATTTATTATCATTATCGGTATCATTGTTATTATTATCATTATCATAATCATTATTATACTATTTTGATTTATTTCATTACATTAAAGAAAATACTTACTTTATTAATTGATTGATTGATTGTTACCACAGGTATGGTTTCAAAATCGTCGAGCCAAGTGGCGGAAGATGGCCCGACAGCGTCTCGGCGTCGACCCGTGGCGTACCCGACAAATCAACACCTACCCGAACCCTATCGGCTTCCACGGCAATGCCTGGCTCTCCGCGGCTGCGGCCGGGAACTTTGCAGCGGCGACCAGGAGCGTGCGTTCGAGCTCGGCTCATGCAGCGGCTGCAGCGGCTACGGCGATGGCCTCGCCGCCGAGCCTGACGCCAGGGATGCTGTACAACGAGGCGATGGCGAGGTTGGCTCAGCGTTCGCTAGCTGGAGGGTGAGTAATCGGCGTGAACGAGTGTGATGAAGATGACGGCGGTGGTCTTGGTGGAACATGATGCAGATGATGAAGATGATGATGATGATTATGGTAGAGATGGTGATGATGATGGTGGAGATGATAAGGATGATGCTGGTCGTGGTTGTGGTGTTCATGATTTTAATGAAAAATATGTACTGTGGGATGAAGCTGCTGATGATCGAAGATAGCGATGACGACGATGATGATGACAATAATACGTGATGATGATGAAAATGTTGGTGATGCAATTGGAAGATGTTGATAGTAATAAAGGTGATGGTAATAATGATGATCATGATAATTATAATGGTTATTATTATTTGTATTAAGTATGATTGTATTTGGCGTCACCAGGTGCCTGGGAGGCGAAAAAAGAACTGAATCACGGTCCCCCTCAAGTTTCTCGTGGTATTACTGATTGGGGGTGTGCAGGTGGACCACTACTTCGGGGTTTCCCCTTATCTTATAGGCTACGAATAGCGCAGTGGGTTCTTAACGTGCAAGGGTGGTGACTCTCCTCCACACGGAGCCTCCTTTTAACATCATATACGAAAGACGGAGTAATTTCCACTTAACATAGACTGTGTCTATGACCAGCCCCCCCCCCCCCCCCCCCCCCCCACACTTCGTGATCGGAGGAACCGCATGCGTGACTTGCGTGTTACCAAAATGTCCGGTAAAGGGGTATTTTTCACACACCAAAGTCCGGCTCGTAGTACACATAAGCCCGTTTTACACATCGGACTTAGGGGGTGTTTTCAAAAGGAGGGAACATGCATATAATTGCGTAACCTAAATAACACTGAGTGGAGAGGGGGGGGGGGGCGGGGTCTATGAACAATGGAAGGGGCACTTTAACACACAACGCAGGTTCAGTCATCCGCCTTGGTTAGATTCGAACCCACGATCTTTGGTTCGACAGGCAGACGCTTTACCGACTGAGCGAACTCGCCACAATGGTGATGGTGATAAGGATGATGATGGTGGTGGCGGTCTGAGTAATGTTAAACGGTGATGATGACACTGATGATGATGGTGGTGGTGGAGATGATGATGATGGTGGTGGTGGTGATGATGATGATGATGATGGTGGCGGTGATGATGATGGTGATGGTGGTGATGATGATGATGACGATGGTGGTGGTGGTGGTAGTGATGATGATGATGATGATGATGGCGATTATGGTTGGAGATGGGTGACGATGACAACGGTGATTTAGGGCTCGTTTAAAGAATGTTTCAAGCGATGATATCCTTTACAGTATTAAGGCGAAGTATAATTAGATAAGCAGCGAGAAGGCATCGGTGTCATGAGGCCGGGGGGGGGGGGTGGCCATCGGATATACAAAGATGTTGAAATAAAAGGGGACAATGCGGTCAAAATAAATGACCTTTCACGTTGCTCTCTCTCTCTCTCTCTCTCTATCATTCTCTCTGTCTCTCTCTTCCTCCCTCCCTCTTTCTCTCTTTTCCTTCTCTTCCTCTGTCTTTCTTCATGTTATCTCTTTTCGCTATACGAGTTTGCCAGCCCCCCCTCAAGCCTTAACTACATACGCTAGGTACTGTATTTTAAATTTACTAATAAATATATTTCTTCTCTTTTGACTCTTTTACCATACACAGAGTAATCACAGGCTCAGGCCTCGGCGACCACCTCCACTTCCACCAACCCGCCAGCACAGCCGGTTGTAACTGCCTCTCGCACTCCGGTCCCACGTGCACCAACTCGTGCACCGCCTCCAAACACTCGAAGCACCACATCCATGCTCCCGATTCTCCCCGAAGCCCCTCCGAATCCCCGAAGCACGGTTCGCCGGCCCACTGCCTGGATGACGACGAAAAACGATGTTTCAGTCAGGCGTCATTGCGCATGCGTTCTTTTAAGGATAACACTTCGGACTTAGATATGTCCGAAAAGTCGGCCGACTCCCCGCTCAGCCAGGATGAATATGTCAGTGTAAATTAGCTAACCGATTTAAGAAAAAGAGAATAACATTTTTTTTCGTTTCCATTGTTGGTTTAATCCTTAAATACCTATCATTAATGTATAATTTTGAGAAATTCCTTGTAGTATTTTTGAAATTTTGAACATGTTTGTAAAGGCAGAAATATTAAAGTATTTCCAGTTTGGCGTAATTGTGGTTGTAAACCGGTCAGTGTTGTTTCTTGAATCCGGGCGTATTGTTGATGAATTGTAGTTTTCAACATCGGCATAATTATTATGAAGGTTCAGTTCTTATGTTCTGGGGTTTTAGTTTTAAAGCCATAACATCCAGGGAAGAAACAAAATTCAAATATAATATCCGACTTAAAAGTCACGTTATGACGAATCGTCAAAAAAATAGCAATGAAAATCACTTGCAGTAATTAACTTTGTGGTGAAATGCATCATTGTTATGTAAATCCAGGAATCTTCTTTAACAAACATGTTGATTTGTCATTAATACTTTAATGAAGTTATTTGACAAAACTTTAGGTTCTCATATGATATCATTTAAGTTAAACTCCAACTCAATTTTAGTTTTTTATTAAGCCATAAAGCATTATAATCCTCTCACTTGATGTGGGTTAGTATTGTGAATAATATTTATATGAAATAAAAATTACTTACATTATAACTGGCCTCATCAATGATAAATGGGGTATACTTTCCAAAGGGGCAACCTGCATTTACGCCGTAGAGGGGGTGTTCGCTAGAAAGGAATACTGAATAGATAAAGAGCCGATGCTTTGCAGAGTTTACGCAAATCTATGTCAAAATCATTGTACATAAATCCATATTGTATAAAGTAATATATTATGTCTAAGAACAAACAATACTTCATGTTGCTTGTGTTAATCTTCTGAAAATAGCTTAACTCGAAAGCAGTGCAATGTTGTTTTTCAAATGAACATTCCATATTTATTTGCTGATTATTAATTGCTATGTTTTTACGATGTTACTGAAGTCAATTTAACCTCATTGGTAAAGTATAAGTGTTCTGTGGTCGATTTCGTTTTTAAATACAGTATCCTACCGACAGTAGAAGCAAAGCATTTACGTTTAATTTGTTTATGAACATTTCGCGAACAGTAGTACTCAGTTGCTCCGCATGCAAGAAAACGATACTCGCATTTTGTGTCGAAATGAAATTGAAAATGTCAATAAATGTCGGATAATTACTGTAAGTTTTCATATCCTTTCCAAAATTCAATCAGTCGCAAGTTTACAGTTTCCTATCTTTTATGTGCATAGTTGCGATTTATATCAACTCTTTATAAGACGGGGTCCTGTAACAAATATTTTTAGAATGGTAAATTTTATAGGGGAGCTCCAAATTTCTAGAAGCGTTTGCAAATGCAAAATTTGGATCTGACGAAGCTTCACAATCATCAATATAGCTGTAATGTTTGTGTGCCAAGTGAACCATAGTGCAAGATTTAATCAAAGAACTCAAACTTAACATAATACGATTGCAAAGATATTGAATAAATCATCTCAAGAGAAATTTGAATACCCTATCCCCTACATTGATCATATATTGTTCTTAAAATTGAAAAATAACGACATTGTCCTTTTATTGCAGCTACATTGTTAAAATAAAGTGAAAACAATAAACATGGGCAAGAAGGATGTCGAAAATTTGGAGGAAAAATGACAAATTTTGATCAAAAAAATCACAATGATTTTGACTCTTTCAACAAGTTGCCAACTAATGAATTTTGAGGCTTATTTTCATACAAAAAATTCCTGGCATTAAAAGTAATATGGTCATGAAACAAAAATGGATGCAAATTGTTCATAAATTGTTGCCCTTTCTACTCTTGCATCTGGAATCTATTTTGTATAGGGCTCTGAATCAAGAGATGAGCCAAACTACAAAATGTGGAATGATGGTCGCGAGAGGGCTATGTAATGCGTCATTGCAATGTTCACACGTTTCAAAATGATGGGCAGAGCTACTGAAATAGGCTATTTTCGTAATGAAACAAAATTTATGCATAATAATATGCCTTCGCGATACGAATTATTTCATTCTGTTACGAATACATGTATCTCTAGTCAGAAATCAAATTACATACATACATACGTTGTTGGTAGGTTGGACAAACATTATGGGGGAAAAGCGGATCTATACTTAGGGGCATTTTGGTTTAAAATGGGACCCATGTTTGGGGATTTTTTGTGAACTTAGTTACCCATTAGAGCGGCACACCTCGTATGTCTTAATATGCGAGTACCCCCCCCCCCGAGGTTGCCCTACCTAACACGTAATATATGCAATTTGCATTCTGCTATTGATATACAATTTATTATTCGAAGCAGGTGAATGAAATAATTTGTATTGAGGCACTTAAATATAAATTTGATTACATTACAAATATGGCATATTGCCTCAGATTTATTTAAAAAATGTATTTGCAATTTTTATGTGATCGTATGTTGGATAGCATAACTGTGAAAAATGAACATAAATTATGCAGGTATATTTGCTATTTCTAGCTGTGTATGTAGTACAATTTTTAAATAAACTGCATAACTATGTGACAAAAATGTAACAAGTCATTTTGATGAGTGAAAATAATGGAATATTGTTAATTAACGGTATGTTGTCTGTATAATATTAGAACGCATGTATTTATATCTACGAGTGCAATTGATATCAATAAATAAATAAATAGTTGAAAGACAAAACAATTCACATTTATTCATTGTCTTTATTGCTTTCACATATCGTGATATTAATTTTTTTTTTAAATCTAAAATTGCTAAATATTCATACTTAATGTTTAACATGATTTGATAAATGTTCACCTTCAGAATACATGAACCACAAAAAGGAACATTAATTAAGAATAAAACAAAAATATAAAAATTGTAGTTAGAAGGAGTCACAAATGACTACTTTCAGTATTTTGTAAGTGAAAAAATAAGTGAAATCCAAACTTTTGGATTTCTATCAGAAAAATAAGACTTTGATTAATGAAAAAAACAAACAAGATGGTGTTGGTGGCTGCAAAAACTAATCCAAGGACATTTGCAGTTACTTTCTTAAATATTTACATGCATAAATGCAAATAATTAATAGTTAATAATTAATAGTCATGATAGTTGTCTCCTCAGCCATCAAAGTCTGACTTTGTCTTGTAAAGAGTTCTGATTGATATCAATCAATAACAAGTCCTCAAATCAATCATAAACTTACAATCCCCGATGTACGACTTTGAGATTGTTAGAAATCTACACTTAAAGATTAAGTTGAATTCCGGTCATGCGATTGCATTGTGTAAGAATTGGTCATCTATCATATAGGAATAGGTGTGTACTGCAAGGTTCTGAAATCATCAAAATGATAAGAAATTTGGCCCAGTCTTGGTAAAGTTACAAGCACTGTACACAAAAAGATGTATATGGGATGACACAAACATGTGGCATAAAAATCTGTCCCAATTTTTATGCTGTTACATGCCATATTTAGAATATAAAGGCATTTGAAGAGCTATGCTTTTCAGGAAACATATTTTATCTCATGTTCTTCCACACTTGCATAATACAATGATAAAGCTCACAAATTATTTTTCACCTCTCCAAAGAACTTAACCTTCTTTTTAGGTTGAGAATGATTTAATTCACTCACAACTCTTTGTGACACAAGGCATAGGATTGCACTTTACTTTCACTGATATATACATTAGAACTCTAATGATAATGAAACAATACTACATCAGCTTTCTCATGAAATCTAATTTCAAGGTAGTGGTATGTCAGGAAGAATAGATAATTGTGAAATAAGACACTTTATACTGAGAGATTAATACTTGAATTAAAAACAAGATTGCATAAAATATTTTGCAGCAATAGTTCTTGAAATTAAGAAAAGATCAATATTTCTACCAATATTTTGTTGTTTTGTTGTTGTTGTTGTTGTTGAAGTAAATGTTTATTCAGAAACAACATCACAGATAAGATCATACATAAATATAACCAAGCCTTTTATTAAGTCAAAGCAGACCGGGAGCCAAATATCTGAAAAAGCGGCTCCCGGTCCTTAAATTTTTTAGAGGACCGGGAGCCGTTTTCCAGGACCAGGAGCCGTTTCCAAAATTGATGAAAATATGTATTCCTTTAAATTATTTGTTAACCGTTACCTTTTATTTATACATACGGTAGTTTAATTTCTAGTTTAAATGTTGAGCACTCTAATATTAAATCACTCATACCTTGGATAAATCTGTCATTTGTAGTTGTTGTTGTTGTTCATGTTTAATACTATTTTCATGCTGTTAAATGCAAAAATTGAAAAATGTTAGGAAGGGGGGAATTAAATTATTTTTACAATTTTTTTCATGCAGAGCTGCCAACCTGTCACTTTCAAAAAACATATTCATATTTTAGGTGAAAAAACAGATTTTGCCTGTTTTACGTTTTTGGTATTTTCCCTATACAATGCTATTGCATTTATGTTTCTTTGAATAAAAACGCATTCAATCATTGAGAGCGGCCGACCTGTCACTTAAAAAAAAATAACAAAAATAATAATTAAAAAAAATTAGAAAAAAATTAGAAAATTAAAAAAAAAATATTTGTTAAATATATTTACCTATTTTATCAGAAAAATCCATTATTTAAAACATCACAGAATTTTAGTCAATGAGTACGAAGGTCGCTGAATTGCGGCGCAACACACGATGATGTTCTATGCCCAAGGTGCGGCACCCATTGGTGCTTAATTGCGGTCGAATCAAGGCAAGTCTGGAGTTGCAATAAACTTTGTACATAAAGTCAATGCATCAGCAGGTCCGGTGTTCGTTTTTCATTTGACTTTTTGAAGATACCATCACATTCGAAGGGCATGCGATAGGCGAAAAAACTGGTAACAAAATCGCTGATTTCTTGATTTTTAGCGCTTTTTTGGTGAAGTTGTTTCTTAAAACTGGGCTAAACCCCCGTGAGCTTTGGAAATATGGCTCCGATTCCGCATTTTTGACAGCAAAATTTGGCTTTTGGGATGGATTTTTGGAAGTTACATCGGGACTTTGTTGTACTGACACTGTGTGTGTAGTGCAGTGCACTGATTATGTCATTTGTGTGTGTATGCATGGCCTGGGGAAATGCTCTCGTCTTTGAGTGGTGTACATCCCCTGTATTGTGTGCAATGTACATGAGTGCGCGCTACAGGAATCGCCAAAACAAAGCAATAGCGAAACTATGCATATGCTCGTTCTCACAGCCAGCCGCTAACCACGTTCGCACAGTCAAACTTTTAGACGGAGTGAGAGTGTTGTTCGCGTACTCTCGATCTCAGCTAGCGGTCTGCACGCCGCTGCTATAGCCCCATAGCAGTGGCGCTAGGAGTAGGATTGAACGGCCGCTCGTATTCGTGCTGCAATTGTTTCTGGGCGATTTTAATTAGGATTCTCATTATAAAATGATTTGTTAGGGTTCATTCAGTCCACATTTTACTCGTATCAAGTAAGTTTTTGTCACATTTGTGAACATTAAGTGCTAGACATGTGGAAGTTTATGAAACAGAGAATGTTAATTCTCCCAGACCGGGCGCCAGAAATAAAAAATGACCGGCGCCCGGTACTCATTTTCCCCGTCTTACCGGGCGCCAAAAGTCAGGGACCGGGGGGTAAAAATCGCCCGGCGCCCGGTTAATAAAAGGCTTGAATATAACAATTTTCACCAATATTGATCTTCTTGCAAAGATAATGCATAGTTTTTTCTTTAAATCATTACTTCAATGAGCAATAAGATGAAAAGGCTTTGTTGGTTAAGTCACATATTGTATTGAAGGCTTTATATTTTGTGCATTGATTGTCTAACAACTTTTGTAAGAATTAGACTCTGTCCAATTAATAGCTTGAATACATATTTGTCGAAACACATGCAATTTGATAAGCTAATCTTTTGCCCAATAGCTAGAGTGTTCAGACTTTTCCATGAGTAAAACTATAATTCAACTTGAAACATAATACAAATGCAGCATACTGACATTCAGACACTTGCTTCTTAATCATCCCATTACCATTTTGGGATTATGGCATGATGGAACAGAATTTGGACGGATCTTGCATGGAAGGAAAATACATGAAAACTTCACAATCAGAAAACTTTCAGTGCATTCAAACCCTCTAAATGCTGCATTTGAAACTATCTTTGGAAGTGTATAGATGAAGTACAGTCTACTGCAATAAAATCATGACCATTCTAAGATTTTGGGAATTGTGTTCAAACTGTTCATATCATAGAAGAAAATTGAAATGATTGTCAAGAAATCAGAGTCCAATAATTGTAGCATTCCTTAAAGTTAGAACACTTCAGGAATTTTAGATGATTTTCGTGTGTTTTAGTCAAAAAAGAGCAAACTTGATGATGATCATTTACAGCATCCAGTGTCTGTAATAGAAGACACCCATTTGAATTTCATTTTTTGAAGGAAAAAATATGAATAGATAACATAAAATCAACAATGGCAAATGTCGTCATTATCCTCTTGAGTATGAGACAATGCAAGCTGAATTAGTATACGGTAAGCAAAGTCGATGTCCAATAGTTCTCAGCATCATGTAGAATCTCATTTGAAAATAAATAGATTATAAGTCCAGTCTACTGAACAACCATCATCACCATCATCATTCTAAGACTTTGGGGATGGTGTTGGTGGTCTGGTAAATGTTCCTCTTCAGCTGCGTGTTTGCATAGATCCCGCTCTCGTCCTTGTATGTGTTTCGGCCAAAGTGCCTGTAGTCCGCCGTGTCCGTGAACTGGCTGTGGCACTTTCGGTAGGCGTTGGAGTTGTCCGCGAAATCCGGCAATTGCTCCTAAGATTAGAATAGGATTAGAAATGATAAGGGATTGCAAGTTGAGAAAAATGTAGGCTGCAAAACACCGTGTGTATAGTATGAAGGTCACAGTGAATCATTTGGGGAATATGATGATATTTAAAATAGATATGAATTCATATCTTGTTATTATACTTAGAAGTCAATATATATCTTAAGTCATAGTCACATGAAAACACATTTACTGGTAAAGCAGAGTACATGTACATGTATATGATTTTTTATTTCCTATTATCTATGAAATTAGGAGGGAAAATGGGAGAAAGAGAAACAGAAATAGAGTGGGAGATAGAGAGAACAGAGATGTAGAAAGGAAAAGTGAAAAAGAGAGAGAGAGAGAGAGAGAGAGAGAGAGAGAAGAGAGAGAGAGCAAGAAAGAGAAAAAGCAAAGGAAATAGAAGCGTACATACCCTTAACATTTAAGATAAGTGAAGTGTCTGTGTAAGTGTGGGGGGGGGGGGGGGGGGGGTTCATTTAACAATTATTATTAGTGGACAAACATTTTTCCTTTCATACATATACTTACAGGTGCTGCTGTGTACGGATAGGGAGGTTTGTAGTCTGCGCGGTTTGTCGTCTCTAGGTGGCGCTTGTCATGTTCTGGGTTGTGTCTGGGTAAAACTGATCCAAACCCTGTCTTAGGTTTGCCTGTATCTCTGAAAATCAAAATCACACCAGATGAGAAATCAAATTTAATCAAGTGAAGAAATCCCCTAAAGAGTTGTGATACTATCACAAAAATAGTTGATGATCTTCAGTTTGAGATGAATAAAAAAATGAAAGTCAATAATTCTATAAAGGACAAGATTTGGTGTCATCATAAAAAAAATTCTAGCCATTTCAAAATAAATAATAAACTATGCTAACCTTGTGAGCATAAAGATGATAATACTCAATTTAAAATCTCCAGTGTCAAAGGATATTAGACAATGAAACAAAAATTGTATATCACTCGTAAATTTGAAACTGATTGGCGGCCTTGTGATCAATATAGATCAATCACAACTCTTACTATTACTATTAAAGACAGTACACTTTAAGCGGGACTGCACTACTTGTAGCTACTGGCGCCCTCTATATAGCAAACAATGCCTAAGGGGTACCTGTTAGTTCCCCATGATCCCCTTTTTCTTATGTTAATTGAGAGTTGATTTGATGAGATAACCAACTGTCAGTGACAATGCAGGGAGGTCTAATCCCTCCTGGCCAAACTAGTGCAGATAGGCTTTAAAATGTTCAGTGTCAAAGGATATATTAGACAATGTAAAACAAATTTGTAATCTCTCACATCTCTGTAGTAGAGAAATAGTTTGCAAGTGTGTGATTTGATTGGAGGAGGACTCTTACAAAGACAGTATATTTCAAGACTCTGAAACAAATGTTATTGAGTCATAACACAATATGTAGACTTTCATCTCCCAACTTCTGTGATTCCTGATTACATGTACGTACAGTACTTATACCCGATAAAGGGGTTGGGCCTTACCTATCTAAATCTACATGTGCGATAGTGTCAATATTGACCATTGTCTTTCTTGGCTCCTTTTCTTCAAAGTCTTTCTTTAAATTTGCTTGCTCCAGATGGTCTTGTGTTGTGGTCAATGGAAAGGACTGCAGAGAAAAAAAAATAAAGAAAAGGAAATGATCAATAATAATAAAAATAAATAATAGAAAGCTTAAACATTATCAGATTTATACATCAAAATCTCAATTTCACATAAAGAATATCCAACAAAACAACCCATGATCAAAAAAAGAAGTATGGATGCACAACGCATTTTGGATATGTTATGCAAGTAAATCAAATTGAAACTTGAAATCTTGACATACAATTATTACATAAAGATATTTATAAAAGGTGTTAAATGAACGGGTGAATTCAAGATTTTGTATGATAACAAAAAAAGATAGAGGAGGGGGGGGGGGCACAATTCTGAAAATTTACTTAATACTTAAGGGGGCAATTTTGTTGTTGTACATGTTTATGACAATGGGGTTTAAAACTCCATAGTTTCTTTCAAAAATTAAATCCACAAAAATAGCATTAAAAGTTGAAGATGGATTTATTTCCATTTAAGTTTGCTTTAACAGAATTTCTTCTTAGAAAAGCAAGTCTCTCTACATTCAATTTAATTACCTGACCTTAAATTAACTCTGCATGAGCACATAATTATACAAGTATCATTAGCTGGGAATCAGAAGGACTCATAGAAATTAACTCAAGATTAATGCCCTTCTAGATCTGGGGGGCGTTTCACAAAACTTGTCATGGGTGACAGATGTCAGATTTTGTTATAAGCTTCTGAAATCCTTTCTTCTGATCGGCTATCAACAGATTTGTCACTGATTTTTGTCATTTGTCATTGAAAAAAGGCTTTGTGAAACGGGTCCCTGAGCCATCAATATGACCGTTCATTCTTACCCCATCAGTGACATCACCAATTCTTCGGTAAGTTGTGTTATGTAGTTTCCTGTCTTGAAGGGTCTCAAAACCGTTAATGTCATAATCTTTTGGTTCGGCTTCTCTCGCTTGATGCCTGTATAGTAGGGAGGAAAAAAGTGGAAACAGAAAGATGATGATTATGATTAGCAAAATGCCAATTGTTTGTTGTGAAAGTTTTGGAACGATAAAGTATTTATTTATGCCTGGGACTTTATCTGGAATAAATAGAAATAAAAATCGAGAAGAATTGAATAAATCTCGAGATCTAAACTAAAGAGAGACAACTTTCTCAGGGTCAACTCGTCCAGCTGCTTCAATTCATAACTGTGCATTGTACATCACTGACCGTTAGGCATTACTCATCTGACTAAAAGTACGTGAATGGCTTGTACACTGTGCAAGAGATGCCCTTTAAGATGAGTACAGAAGATCGAACTCGAGGTCACTCTAGAAAACTTGAAAAGAAATATTCAAGGCTAGATATAAGAAAATACTTTTTTAGCAATAGAGTCGTGGAACTGTGGAACGGTCTCCCAGAAAACGTTGTGGCAGCTGGGTCGGTAAACTCTTTTAAGAATAGACTTGATAGTCACTGGTCAAAGAGTGTACCAGTAAGCCTTCTGTATGAGCCGGTCTAGGTGTTGTCTATTGTCTCATGTTATTACACAACCTCCTCCCTCCACAAAATAGCAGTAATCACAGAAGAATCCTGGATCGATGAACAGGCTTAGACCTAAAACATCGTGTTTTAAAGTAAAGTAAAGTAAGTAAAGTAAAAAAATTCTTCACATATTTGTTGGTTGGCAATGCCATAACATTAACATTAACAATAATTACTAAAATGCCTAACACTTGTAACACTAACACTAGATCTAGAACTAGTAACAGTGAGTAACACTCCACAACAACGTTATCAATAATAAAAAAAAACATAAACCAAGAGAAAAGAATTTAACACATGATACCAGTAAGTTTAATTGCGATAAGTCTTTATATTTATATCGCCAATCTGAAATAGACCTACTCAACAATAAGTTACGTTAGAAATCTACAACGTACTCAGCAGCAGCAGCACAAACTTCACCACAAACTCTGTGTAGACTGGTCTAGATCTATATATATGCATACTGTAGCAGCGGCGTCATTTTTTTCTGCAGCACAAATTGGGTTTTTTTTTCTTAAAAAGAGGTCTTGATTTAACCCTAACCCTAACCCTAAACTTTCCCATAGGCTCAACACGCACGTGCACCTAACCCCAATCTGTGCATGCCGCAGACAAAAATAACGCTCCCCGGCCCAGCGGAGACAAACTACCGGGGCGGCGAACCGATGGAAAAAGTGATTAACTTACCAATTAGAATTTAGAGTTGGACGGCTATAATCCATGTGATTGGATCGCAAGAATAATGATCCTTTGCGCTCAACATAATCTGGCAGGGTAGTGTAGCTGTTCATCTTGTTAGATTTTCAAAAATAATGTTATTTCCTTGATAAATCTTGATATAAACGCCGCTGGCATACGGTTCAGTGATTAGCCCAAAAGCAAAGCATGCATACGGTCTATATGGATGTGTTGTTTGTTTACATCCGAATAACGGAAGTTGAATAGTTGATGCACTTGCGCTACAAAAATAAACCCAAAATACAATTCTGATAGGAGGAATCATTTGGTATGTTTACCACATGTAATAAATATTTACCAGCCAAAGTCATATATAAGACAATAAAATGTATGAATATTTACTGAGAAGGTAAATTTAAGCAAATTATAAAAATATTAACATTGCGCGAAGCGTCAGTGATCCACCTCCGATACCATAGCAATGACCCGATGAAAAGGTCGCTCATCATAAATGTCACATGACCAATCTGTTTTGTCATGTGATCTTGGCAAGTGGGTCGACGGTCATGGGATAAAAATAGACGTGATTTACATGGCGGAACGAACTTCGAAGATCCAGTGCAGTGTGGTACCGGTTTGGCTAAACTAACCGTGTGATTTTCATAAATATTAAGCAGTCGGTCAAAGGTAAGTAATGATGGTAGATCTTATTTATATTCATGTTGTTAGGATTAAAAGTTAACGCAAAACGACGACATTTTGCCAGTGATTGTGTGTCACACAGACAGACATCTCTGCAGTGCACTGCCACCAATGCATGCAGCTGCAGCCACCAAGCTGACTGAGCTGTCTGTTTGGCTCTGCCACCGGCCTCCGCTTGACCATGTTGACGGCTTGCACAAACCTGGTATTAGCATGAATTTCTGTGACAACAAGTAGATCCTTGTAGACCCTATATTATAAAATAGTAAAGATAACTCTATCTGGACTGTAGTCAAAGATTGATTTATTAATTAAAATTCCATCATAATAATGAACTAACGATCGATTGCCAGTCTTAACGCCTTTAAATTATAACAGAATTTCTTTTTTTCGTTTTCTTCTTTCTATACAGGTTTGGGTCTGATACTTGATAAATCCAATATGGAGGGTCGAGGGGAGTTTGGATATGGATCCACGGGCGCAAGAAGCGACCAAGGAGGAGGTAAAGTGGAGGAGTTAGCAGTGATGATGGTGGTGTCTGTGATGATAAGGATGATTTTGTTGGAGATGATGATGTCTGTGATGATTAGGCCTAAAATAAAAACTTGTTGTATTGCACTTTGCGACCGACCCAAAAATCTGAAAATCTACGGTCGGCATTTTCAAAAAGTTTAAAAAAAGAAGTTTTTTAGATTTTTTTTATTATTAATGAATTAAAAAATATGTATTTTGTTTGTTTAAATGGGATATAATGCATAAAATCAAATTATTCCAAAATTCTCACTCGTGCAAACCATGGATGATTATGAGGTGAAAAAGATATCAATGGAATGATGACGTTGAAACACATGTATTAAAAAGTGAGAAATATTAGCCAAGAGGGCGGGAAAAAAAGAAGAAACAAAAAAACATTCAAATCTGAAAAATATCGGCCCAAAGAGGGCGACAAAAAAAAAGTTAAAAAAATTAAAACTTTTCTGACCCATGTTTTGGCACACAAAGGGCAATACAACAAGTTTTTATTTTAGGCCTTGTGATAATGATTATTGTGATTTTTGATGGTGGTGTTGGTGATGACGATGATTTTGTTGAAGATGATTTTGTTGAAGATGATGATGTCAGGGATGATGATGATTATTATTATTATGATGGTGATGGTAATGGTGATAATGACGGTCTATGGTTGTGATAAATGGTGTTGATGACAATGATTTTGTTGGTGATGAAGATGGTGGTGATGGTGATGATGATGATTGAAAACAATACTTATAAAGCGAATATCAATTTTTATCCCTATGCACTTTGGAGATAAAGGAAGCAATTACAAAGTTACAACAGTTTATTGTGGATAATATCAGATTCATCGACATTTTCCAACTGCTTTTATTGTCAGTGCTACGATGAGTAAGGTATACATTTCTGTATTTATTTACCATGTATTAATTTGCATGTATTTATTGTGTTTTACAATTTTCTCCATCACAGGCCCTGGTGATTTTGCAACCCTTATGAACATGTGCAGCAGTAGTATATTCAAAATCAACAGCAGTAGTAAGTATATTATTTAATATATTATACAATCAGTTATATATATATATATATATATTTGTTTAAATTCTGTTGTTTATATTATGTACAAATGTACGTATATATGTTTTGTAATGTTTTTGCAAAGTTGAGAGCAATATTGAATAAAGATGATTCTATTATAGAAGGAAAAAATAAATATTATTTGAATTCCATATCATAAAGAACAGGGTCTTAGCTTAGCCAGGATTTAAAAATTGGTTGTCCTGTTTGAAAAATAGAATGTAAAAAAAGGAGCATCCATTGAATGATGTGAAACAAACAAAAAGTATATATGTAGGACATCATCCTCAAGATTTAGGCTTGTAGATAACTCAGATGCCCACTTGGCTAAAAAACTCTAAATTAGCGCTCTATTACTATGTTTCTTGCCATAATTTCACACAAATTTAAACCGTTGCCTATAGGAACTGGGTTATTTCTTTAAAAAGAGAATGAGAAATAAAATAAAAGCTATATGTATTTTATGTACAGTGGTCAACAGATTTCATTTATTTATAAAAAAAAGTATTCCAAATATAACAATAATGATTATATCAATTTATATGTTCATGTAGTGCAGCTACTATTGCACTGGAAAAGAAAGAATATCATAACAAATTTGTAATGCTGATAATAGCTTGAGTTGAGATTGTAAATGTACGTCATATTCTTCAGAAATCATTACACTGAATTTTAAGGAGTAAACAAAAAAGTTAAGGTGGAAAAGTTACAATCATGAATAATCATGTTACTATCTTTTTACAAGTATCTTATTTCTATAACTTGTATAATGATGTTCTGTTCCAAAATATAACATAATTAACTGAAACATTGAAATAATGAGCAATTTTTTGTGTTTATGGATTTGTACAGTATAACTTCATTTAAACACACCTAACAAACTTTTAATTGTGAGTACCGGTATATCTTGTTTGCAAAGTTACAAAAGAAAAATACAGCTTTGTGAGGCATACCAAAATTGCATGTACCTACATGTACATGTACATAAATATTTACAGTGTATAATGATATTCTGTTCCAAAATGTAACATAATTAACTGAAACATTGAAATATTAAGCAATGTTTGGTGTTTATAGATTTTAGATGCACCTGTACATATACAGAGCAAGTCTATTTAGAATTTTTTAGATTCTCATCTTTCACTTAAAAACACATAACAAACTTTTAATAATAAATTGTGATTATATCTTGTTTGCAAAGTTACAAATGAAAGATACAGCTTTGGGAGGCATACCAAAACTTTGTGTACAGTGTATACTCAGTTTAATAATTGAGATAATTTGGAAGATGTATCATGTTCCCTGCAATGGTTCCTGTTTCAGTTATTCGATGATAGCCTGTGATTAAATGGATTAACAAATGATTTCATGCCCTCTGATTCTTTTTCCCTCTTGATGCCCTGGGCTGCAGAATAGACTGGTTTACTAGCATACATGTACATTTACATGTATTCTATAAATGTTATGCATACTTTTTAAAGACAGATAGTGCTTGAAAACTCTTAAAGGTAAAGACCAGTATTGGTAACGCCCCAATTTCAAAAAATGAAATGGAAGCTCTCATTACCAATCATGTGAAAGAATATGTTTTGACTAATACATGATGATAAAAAATTTGCCGGGAAACCGCCTACTAATTCATATATTTGGTAAATTTGTTTCTCTCATGGTCCTGTGAAAGATATAGGGTAGTCCCATATACATCTTTCTGTGTATAGTGCTTGTAACTTTACGAAAAATGGGCCAAATTTCTTATCATTTTTAATGATTCCAGAACCTTGCAGATGCTAGATGCTAGATAATCAACCTTTTCTAATCGATTCCACAACGTTTCTTTCACAATGCAATCGCATGACCATAACTGGTCTTTACCTTTAAGCTAGTCAAGGCTTGCCTGACATAGCAACAAGTAATATATAAGCACACTGGATCCCAAGTATAATTGTTCATTTATTATAAACTGGTTAATGGAATACCCCGTCACTAGGTCCTCAGAAAAGAAACATCCATAAATTTGAGGTAAACCAAGATTCCACCCTTTAATTTCAAGGAAATCCAAGCCTACATGTAATACATGTAATATGTATAGGAACAGATTAATCAAAAGATGGATAGTACTGTACTACTATACATTAATTTTGAGGAACACAAAAGGTATATATAACAGGAACATGGATAGAAGTACACTGTACATGGACTACACCTGTACATTAACCAATACAATAAAACAAATATCTTTATTTTAAAAAAGTTAAAAAAAATAATGTTATAAATGTTTATAAGGATCATCTTATAGATATTTGAATTTTGATTGTCACAAAATAAAGATATCAAATTGTTTTGTTAATTGAAATGATATTGATAGAGGGCATTTTTTTCATTTTAACATGTTAAAAACTTCTTAGAGCATGACCCCCTTCTGTAACTTTTTATCTTCTTTCAAATTTTGTGCCACATCACTTATTTCACCCCTCAATATTGGGGCTATATTATGTTCAAAAAGTAACCTGAAGTGAATGTTATTGTACCGTAAAATTAACCTTGCACCCAGTTTTCCCAAACGTCTAATTTTTGTCTCACTTTTTCTTCTGCAGTATCCTTACTTGAAAAGGCAATCAGGCAGATTGGTACACCCAGCGATAATAATATACTTAGAGGTAAAATGTAAGTATTAAAAGTACATTCAGACCTTTTCTTCAACTGAAAAAACCACGATACGTTCATCACTTTCCTTCTTGTTAATAGATTTACCATGCAATTATTTTGTCTTAAAACAAAAAAGTATTCATTACTATTCATATGACTTTTGCTTTTATTTGGAACCTTTGGAAACTGGAAAATTTTTCTGCATCCCGACACTTGACAATTGCTCCTGTTTTTATTTTGTGAAGAGTATATAGAGTTTTATGGATGCAATGTTTCAGGTTTAATAGGTGGAGGTGTAGATCCAGGGTTAAATTGAAGAATTTGGTTAGTGTGGGAAATTAATGCGGAGCAAATTTAGTCACAGGAACAAGTGTCGTACAGCCAGAATTGCGACGTCAAAATTGGCATTTCAAGTGATACTGCAATTCATTTCACAGTCGGATGGAAAAAGGATTGAATGATGTGTTGTAGGGCTGGAACGTGTAGTCGAATGCTTGAGTACCCGCACGGTTGACAACTACTCGGGTACCGCAAAAAAACAAAACAAAATCAAAAAAATTCAAAAAAATTCAAAAAAACATGGCGTTCAAAACTCAAGCACTGTCAAACTCACCACTTAGAAACTGGGACCAAATGTTTGGATTTCTGTTTGGACTTGGAGGAAAATGGATTATTCTGCCATATTTGTTTTTAAAACAGCATTGTTTACTGTTATTATTAATTATTATTAAATTGGCGCCTTCAACTGCAACTCGAAGTAAAATTGCATGTGTTTTCGGCGACAGAACTGGAATACTGCTCTAGTGGTATGGTGGTGGCCAAAAACAAAACAAAAACAAAAACAAAAAATCAAAAAAATTCAAAAAAATTCAAAAAAACATGGCGTTCAAAAATCAAGCACTGTCAAACTCACCACTCAGAAACTGGGACCAAATGTTTGGATTTCTGTTTGGACTTGGAGGAAAATGGATTATTCTGCCATATTTGTTTTTAAAACAGCATTGTTTACTGTTATTATTAATTATTATTAAATTGGCGCCTTCAACTGCAACTCGAAGTAAAATTGCATGTGTTTTCGGCGACAGAACTGGAATACTGCTCCAGTGGTATGGTGGTGGCCAAAAACAAAACAAAAATTCAAAAAAATTCAAAAAAATTATAAAAAACATGGCGTCCGAATATTAGAGTATTCGCTTGTAAGCCTGGGAGCGTACTCGGGTACCTCATTACACTGTTGTGCACAACCTTAATGTGTTGTATGCTTAAAGATAATATGAAATAGAGTACATGTATTTGTAATGTTAGAGAGCATCCTATTGACTGAGAAGCTAAAACAGCATGAGTGTGCAATATCACAACCTTTTTATCAAGGTAAAGTTGTGCAACAGTGTATTATACCGCATTTCCAAACAACCCTGTACATACCGGTACTACATACAGTGTACATAGTGTTCTTATTTTGTTAGCCTTGTCTTATATCCATGCGCATTTGACTCAGATAGAAAAATAAAGAGCATAAGGCCGCTAATACATGTACCCTTAATCTTGTATATCCAATATTGCGTGATTGTATTCACCTCAGAATTCTGAATTTTTGCTTGTGCAATCCTTTTTTTCCCTTGGCTTGCGATCTCATTTAAATGAATTTGTAGGTTCATCTATTTCAGAACATGCAATATTTGACTTCTGTACATGCTAAAGTAATACCTGTTCTATAAATTGATTTGTAATGTTTTACAACCAATGTAAAGCAAATTACATGTATCTTGAAATAAATGACAAAACATACAGTGTGTGTGTCCTACCAGCATATTTTCTAGTGCTCTTGTCCATGTACAGTATTTAAAGTACCTTGTGCAATGCCCGTATAGGCCTACTCAAAGATGATTTGACTGTTTTACGCACAATGGCTAAGTGGTATAGCAGTGGTTTTGTAACCAGGAGGTCCCAGGTTGGAGTCCAAGTCAAAGCGCTAGTGCCCTTTGTTCTCCTTACCAATACCAGCTCTCTCAGAGAGGACTAAAAGCCATCTGTCCCCTGGTTGCTTAAAATACTTGCTGGCTTAAAAATGTTTTATCTCAATAACATTTGAAACATATTCAATGCCTAGAAATCTTTCAGAAACATGTTTCAAATATTTATCTCAGATTTTATACTAATGATATTATGTTGTTAAATTCTGGAGAGAGATTTGTGTATTTTGTTTTGTATAGCGCCTTGAGTAAGTTGTTAGATAAGTGCGCTTTATAAGTATTTATTATTATTATTATCATATAAAAACAAACAAAGATTAAAGAGGTCTGGCATACTTTTTGGTGTCCCAAATCATTTGTAAGGTACATTTGATACATTGATTTACTGTTACATTACATGATGATATTGTAAGATAATTTATAACAATTATACGTAAATTGTTATCATGATATTTTGTATAACTCAAGTTGCACTTGCGAAAGAAATCTATAATTTCCAGGGTCGTTTTTCTTTACTAGATTTTATTAAGTTTCTACTGTAGGCCTACACATCATTTATACACATGTGCCTTTGGAATGTATAAGTTCTGCAATCGCAATATTCAGAATATTTCTCAGTTTCGTTTTAAAAAAGTTCTGTAAAATAGGTTTTTACGGTTTTGTGGTGTGCTGGTTATTATGGATATATCCTGTGGTTATCTTCTTTAGGATCAAGGAAATAAATGTCCTGGATGGAAAATTAAAACTTTTTTCACTTTCAAGTTGGAAACCATTTCCCTGCATGGAAGCCATGAAACCACCAATGCTGAACATACTTTTTAAAATCTTCATGTATCAATTGCGTATTTGTGGTAAAAAACAGTGACTTTATGTATTTTGTCCTAGTTTATTTAAGAAAGTGGGAAAATTTGTATTCTTTGTTGAGCAACACTGGTTTTGTTTTCACTCTTATATCCTCATGACAACTATGATTTGACATTACAACAAAACCTGTATATCTGTAAACATATTGCTGCCTTGTAAAAAGAACGTAATTTTATTTTTTCTTCTTCTTTTTCACCAAATCTTGTAAATATGTGATTCTCATGACTTGTTTTAATAAAATATATACAAAATATAAAAATAAAAACCCTGTGTAACACCTGGTCAAAGAAGTGCTGTCTATATAGGCAGGTCAGGTGGTCTTTATGTACATGTTCCTTTTAGTGTTCACATTGCAATGGGGGCAAAATATTCAAGGGACATGAAACAAATTATATACATGTACCTCACTTAAGAAATCCAGCCATCTGATTGGTCGAATTGCATTCATAAACTTCAACTATTTCTGTAAAATTCCCAATAACCATGGTTATTGGGAAAATAGTTCAGTCTCCATGGTTACCCCATAGGTTTACATGTTAAAAAATGGTCTGAGCGATCGAGGATACCGCGTACGTGTGCGAAAAATTGGTCGGCAATTTCAATACAATTGAATCTCGATCGATCTTACCGACAATTTTATCTTGCATTGTTGACATGAAGACGAAAATAAACTTCCAAAAACAAAAAAACAACATCTGCCGATAGATCTTGATCTAAATTCGTGCCAATCTGCATTGCAAAAGTAAAAGAAGGGCCTGTTTATATGGAGCAGCCGCGAAGCATCCTCCACTCGAAACCGTTTTCAATCCATTTTAATGTATATATAAGAAAAAACTACTATGTTTTTAACAGAGCGCGATAGCCGAGCGGGTTAAGGCGCTGACTTTAGTTACATCACCTTTTGTACGCAAGAGTTCGAATCTCATCTTCGACAAAAGTTTTTTTATTTTTTATTTTTTAGTCTATTTTTTTTTGGCATATAAAAGTATTAATGACTGCTTTAATATTCGAGAAGTAGTTGTTTTATTACGCTCTCGGGAAGGTTACAATTGGGCTATTCCCCTCGGCACGCCTGGGGTAATAGCACAATTCTAACCTTCCCTTGAGCGTAATAAAACAACTATTTCTCTCAAAGCAGTCATTAATACTATACTATGACCTTTCTATATAGGAGGAGGTTGCTAAAGTACAGTAGGTTTTTTTTTTACATAATAATACAAATTTTTCTTCCTTTTCTTTCTTTCAAACAGACAGCAGATGTTAACTCAAACCAATACCGCCATTTCTCAAACCAAACAATGTATGTCACAACTTGGTCACGCAGCAAAAACATTGGAAAAGGTAATACATCTTTATTAATTTACACCTTAGGTAGTATCTGATGTTTTATTTAAAGTGGTTGACAGTCTGACAGTAATGATTGCTGCATGTGCGTGTACACAGGAACTCACTAATGGCCACTGTTATTATTATTATCGCTATTACCTAAAAATAGGCGCACTGTTAAACTGGAAGTAGTACATTGTACTGTAGTTCTGGAGTCAAGCATTCAAAGATTTTTTTTTTTCGCACGTAAGGGGTGCATAGTTCAAAGTTTGAAATCAACGTTAGTGAATGATCAAGTCAAGCAGGAAATACACAAAGCAATTACCTTTAATGCATTGAGCAACAGATAATGCATGCATGTGACTCATACTGTAGTAGAGTGTACTTTGCACTCTGTGTATTTGTAACATGTATAAAACTATTAAGCCATTAAGAAGAGTACGTGTACACTGTATACCTTGAAAATGCACTGTGTGCTGGGACCTGCATGTACATGTTGTTAACTAAAATTATTCATGTTTACGTAGGTGAAAATTTGATTTTTGCTTTACATCTAAAAGTATTCAACAAAGGCCCTAATTTCACCTATCCCATGACCTTAAATTCTCGAGTTATGAAAAACACAAAAAACATCAAATTTACAAGGCGTACATGTATACCGGTATGACCAAAATTAATAACTGTATAGTATGTATGAGCTTATTAGGATTAAGCACCCCCGAATCGCTCTCTTGAATTCTTTTCTTTTTTCATTTTATTTGATGCTGGTATCTATTCATCTGCTTTAAATAGCAATTTGATATTTTTATAAAGAGATTTCAAGTTAAAATATATATTAATGACACTTTAAAAGGTCAATCACAGAGCTTGAGAGTAGCCTCATCAACAAACATGCACAGAATTTGTCCATGCATCTTTGTAAACTTCTGTTTAGTGCTTACTTCTGTGTGAAAATACAATCATTTTTTGTTTGCGTTCATTTAATATTAATATAATCACCTCTTTAGCAAGTCATAGATTTTGCTTTAGTTCATTATACAATCATTCATTTATGTTATTAATTGTTCAATTAGTTTAAGTATTTATTATTTCCATCTTATTTATTGAATTGTATTCATTTATTTGTGGCCTCATAATGATAAACAACTGGTTCTCTCTTTTGTAGGGGCATAATTGGCCCCCTTTACGTAACTTCATTTTTTTAAATTATGCATTATAGAGTAATGAATCTTTAGAATAATAAGCCTTTCAGATTAAAGGTAAAGACCAGTATTGGAAACGCCCCAATTTCAAAAAATGAAATGGAAGCTCTCATTACCAATCATGTGAAAGAATATGTTTTGACTAATACATGATGATAAAAAAATTGCCGGGAAACCGCCTACTAATTCATATATTTGGTAAATTTGTTTCTCTCATGGTCTGTGAGAGATATAGGGTAGTCCCATATACATCTTTCTATGTATAGTGCTTGTAACTTTACGAAGAATGGGCCAAATTTCTTATCATTTTGATGATTCCAGAACCTTGCAGATGCTAGATGCTAGATGATCAACCTTTTCTGATTGATTCCACAACGTTTCTTTCACAATGCAATCGCATGACCATTACTGGTCTTTACCTTTAATGAACCCTCTGAAAATCAAAATGAAACCATAAGATATACCGGTACACGTACTTGTACGGTACATGTACCTGCACAATTTAGAAGTGCAATAGCTGCAGATGTAGTCAATAGGAAATGTGGGAAGCACTTCTAACGGTCTATTAAGGAAGTGATCGAAACCCAAACCAAAGTTATTGATCTTAGTTTCAACCGATTGTGATGTCGTTTTGACCAAGTGTCTACTCTAGTACAGTGATCTCAATTGCATAATTGTAGTGCACTGGTGATTCAAAGAGATTTAAAGGGAAGCATTTCCGGCATCAAATGGGTTTTGAAGCACATACATTGTACATGTATGAAAATAAGACAATATACGATGTATATCGAATACATATGCACCCTCTAAATATGTCCCAATCAGGGTTTCATGTCAGTTTGTTTTGTTTGTTCATTTGTGTTTTTCTATTGTCAAAGCTTTATATTCATTCTCCTAATACAATGAACAGTCAAACCTGCTTTAGTGACCACCTGTCTACAACAAGCACATTTTTTGTTTCCCTTGAAAACGTTTTCTTATTGAAACATGTACTAAAATAACCTGTCTACAAAGACCACCTGTCTAGAAAGACCATTTGTGTTTCCCTTGGGCGGTCGCTATAGACAGGTTTGACTATATAAATGCATTCTATTTCAATAGGTGGATAAAAGTACATTACTTTCCCTCTTATTTCTTCCAACAGCAAAAGAAGATTCAGTTTGAGAGGATAGCAAACGACTTTCACGACACCGTGCAGAGATATGGCAGTGTACAAAAGGTAAAGGGCGTGCTACATGTAACACTACTTGGGGTGTTTCACAAAGATCCTAAGTTGAACTTACATGTATCTCTAAGTTTGACTTAACTATTATGGAAAGCCGTTAGCATCTTTGAAAATGTTTTGTAAAAGTTATTTTAAAAAGCATAACATGTTGATTCAAATCATTCATATTTTTCTTTTATCAAGGAGATTTCATGTTCTTGATGTGGAATTTATGAAAAGTCTAAAATACTTGAATTTTTGCTTTTTAATATATTTTATTCTAAGGCTACAAATGGCTTTCCATATTAAAAAAAATTTGTTTATGTCCAACTTAGAGTCAACTTCGACTTTGTGATCTTTGTGAAACATCCCCCTGGTCAGATCAAATCAAAGAAAGTTCAAATTTTCTGATATGATAAAAGAGGATAGTTCAATAATATCTGATTTGGAAAGGTTTATTTATACGTTATTGGACTGAAGTTGGTGCTTAAATGCTTCAAAAACAGATACGGTATGTTCCTTCATGGAAAATGGTTGTTTTAATTACCCAAAATTATTGGCTGTTGTTATTTTAGCTTTTAAAAAAGAAGAATAATTTTCTACCTAACCTCTAAAACAGTCAAATTGATAAATTTAATCAAATTTCAACTATGAAAAATAAGACAAACTCTGTTATTGTAAACTTAAGTTTGCCTTTTCACTGAAGTTTTCTTTTTTTGAAGACGCAAGCAGGGAAAAAAATACTTTGAACATTTCGGGGGCTACTTTTCAAGCTTGCTTGCATGAAAATAACACTCTTTAATTGAACTCTATGCAAATTTTCGGGGGCTCTTTTTCGCATTTCGGGGGCTAATTCGCCCGGAGCCCCCGTGTATTTTTTTCACTGGACGCAAGTTTTGAAGAAATTCATGAATTGTTAACAAGGTTTTGCTGATATTTATCATTTTATAACATAACTCACTGAGGCATGCTTCCTTATTCTCTAACAAATCCTCATATTAGTAAAATAGCTGACTACCGGTAGGTCAAATCTATTATTTGAGATTTAAAAAAAATACAATTAATGTTAAGTTTGGTTGCTGTTGAACATGATTTATTATTTTGATTAATGAACACAGTTTAACTTAAAGGTAATGCAAAGTTTTTAGAAATTTCGAAAATTGGATGGATAGTAATTCAATAAACTTTTGATATATTTGGATGCCCCTGTGAATGTATTGTAAGCACTAGAAAGTTTAGCCCTTAAAACACTTCTGCTTTCTAGAAATTGAATAATTTAAAAAAATTACCGGTGCTCCCGGTAAATTTCAAATACTTCAAATAGTGCCTAAGGTCATTCCATGGTAGCTGCGGCCATAAATTCCAAAGGGGAATAGCAAATTGGTTGATTGTAGTCAAGAAACATTGTTTTAAAGCTTAAGTAATATCAGTCTTGGGAGGGAGCTATACAACATAAAGAGTTTATTATTTACATTTCCATCACTTTAGACTCGATTTCAACCGCAACATGTAAAATCGTGTATGCTTCCAATATGTTCATTTGAACCAAATTCCAAACCCCATTCCAAAACTTTGCATTACCTTTAAGATTGAAATATGACTTAAAGCTTTAAATAATAGGTGGCTGACATGATTTGGCAAACATTTTATTAGCCTGACAATATATAGTCACATGGATATACGCATATTGTATGTTGTAATATTACTAATATCTACATTGTATATCTTTTACATGAACAGAGAGTGGCCAACAAGATGAGGTCAAGTCCGAGCGTACGGCCGCAGAGTCAAAGCCAGGGGGTATGTATAGAATGACCTTTAACCTTGAAAGGTGGGATTAATAAATCGGTGCATGATGGTGAAGAATGGTAGGGTAGAGGAATATCTGGGCCCTGTTTCATAAATCTTTTTATCAATAACAAGTTACAATAAATGTAATTTATAAGCTTCTGAAATTGTGGCATTTGATTGGCTGGACGAATTTGATGATTGAGGAATCATTAAAATATGACTCGATGTGATAAAAAGAATAACAAATTCAGCATGCTAAACCAACTTGACACCTTTTTCAAATGTTTCCAATGTGTCTAATATGACTAGGAATTACAACTATAAGAATGATCAGTATTTGATGAAGGTTTATCATACTACTTTGAGCAGCACTGATTTCTCAGATAAGTTTGTGCACTACAGTCCCACGTGATCATCTTCATGTCTAGAAATAGTCAACCAATTCTCTTTATCCTAACATTGCCGTGCAGACAATGGGTTTTGGAGAGCAGGGGAACGACTATGACCAGAAGACGCCGCTTTTATCGGAAGAAGAGGAGGAGAAGAGGAGACAGATGCAGATTCAAATGCAGCAGCAGGATTCGGCAATCGATTATGATCTAACGTTAATACAGGAACGAGAAGAACAGATCAGGCAGATTGAGGTACTGCAGTTTGTGTTTATGATTGTGTGGGGGGAGAGAGAGAAAGAGAAGGGGTGAGAGAGGGAGGGAGGGAGAGGGAGGGAGAGAGAGAGAGAGAGAGAGAGAGAGATAGAGAGAGTAGGGAGAGAGTAGAATAGTGGGAGGAGAGAGAAAGAAAAGGAAGAGAGAAGGAGAGAGAGAGAGAGAGGGAGAGAACAAGAAGGAGGAAGCAAGGGAAAACTGAGAAGAAAGGAGACATACATGTACATGTACATGTAGAATAGTGGCAAGAGAGAAAAAGAGAGAAAGAGGGGAAGAGAGTAGGGAGAGCAGATTAGTGGAAGGAGAGAGAAAGAACAAGAAGAGAGGAAGAGAGAGGGGAGTAGGATGATTGGAAGACAAAGGAGAGAGAGAAGGGATGAAGAAAGAGAACAAGAAGGAGAGAGAAAAAGAGGAAGAGTAGGGAGAGAGTAGAATAGCAGGAGGAGAGAGAAAGAACATGAGAGAGAAGGAGAGAGAGAGCGGGGGGGGGGGGGGGGGATAGAGGAAGAGAACAAGAAGGAGGAAGCAAGGGGAAACTGAGAAGTGAAGAGAAATACATGTAGAATAGTGGGAGGAGAGAGAAAGAACAAGAACAGAGAAGGAGAGAGAAAGAGAGAGAAGGAGAGAGAAGGAGAGAGAAAGAGAGAGAAGGGAGAAAGTAGAATAGTGGGAGGAGAGAGAAAGAGAGAGAAGGGAGAAAGTAGAATAGCGGGAGGAGAGAGAAAGAACAAAAAGAGAGAAAGGGAGGAAGAGAGAGAGAGAGAGAGAGGGAGAAAAGGCAAAACAGTATGTACATTCATTACTCATGGAATGTTTTTGCCTCAATTATTGTATTCAGTACACATTCTTTGCAACTCTATCATTTTTCCCCGTCTTCTTTATCACAAGTTTAATCTCTCTCCTCACCTTGTTTCCCAGGCAACCATGTTAGATGTGAACGAGATATTCAAAGACCTGAGTATGATGGTATCAGAACAAGGCGATATGATCGGTAAGCAACTCAGACTCGACCTTATAATAATAATAATAATAATAATAATAATAATAGTGGTGGGTTCTTGTATAGCGCTCATATCTGTCAGACTTGACACTCCTGGCGCTTCACATTAATTGGTTGTTTGACCAAGTGAAATAAAAACAAATGCACCAAACTTGCTGGGCATCATCTTTAATAAAACCACAACTCCCATTCGCACATACTGGTTGTGACCTGAGTTAAGCACATGATGTCGGGCCTACTTACCCAGATTTACTTATCTTTCTATGCTCATTACTACACATTTTCTACCCATTTTTTGGGCACATGTCATTTATTTGTAATCTTGAACATTCAGCGTAAGTTTCTTTGGATTCTGACATTCTGTGAGAATTTATTTTCTCTATTTACCAGAACAAAAGTTTATTTTGAATATTCCTTCTCTTTTCTCTCTCCCTTCTATTTTGCTTGATGATGATTCTTGCATCTGTAGATTCTATTGAGGCCAATGTAGACAGAGCGGGTGATAACGTAGAGGAGGGAGGGAAACAACTAGCGACTGCCAGCAAATATCAGGTAAAAATCTCTCTCGATCATACCAGTTTCTCCTTTCTCCACCTCAAATAGGCCATTTGCGTAATAAAATCAATTTTAAAGCCCCACTGCACAACATATAGCTACTTGCGCCCGCTAGATAGTAAACAATGCCTAATCGGTGACCATTGGTCCCCCATGATCCTCTTTTTCTTATGTTAATTGAGAGCTCATTTGATGAGATAACCACCTGTCAGTGACCATGCAGGGAGGTCTAATCCCTCCTGGCCAAACTAGTGCAAAGTCTTTGTTAAAGGTAATACAAAGTTTTGGTATGGGGTAATGAATTTGGTTCAAATGAACATATTGGAAGCATATGCAATCCTACAATATTCAGTGATCGTTGTCGCGGTTGAAATCGAGTTTAAAGTGATGAAATTGTAAATAATAAACTCTTTATGTTTTATAGCGCCCTCTCAAGGTCAAGATATTAATTTAGCGATACTGCAATGTTATTTGACTAAAATCGACCGATTTGCTATTACCGTTTGGAATATATACATGTATATCAGATCTTTACATTCTGAGATTTTTATGGTCGCAGCTACCATCGTCTCGCCGTACGCGATGATTCAAATTTATCAAATTTACCGGGAGCACCGGTAAATTTTTATATTCAATTTTTCTCAAAAGCAGAAGAGTCTTAGGGGCTAAAATTTTTAGTGCTTATAATACATCCACAGGGGCATCTAAATATATCAAAATTGTAAAGAATCACTATCCAGCCAATTTTAAAAATTTTCCAAAACTTTGTAATACCTTTAAGGGCCTCGTTATAAATTATTTCATTCATCTGTTACGAATAAATGTATTTCAAAAGTCATAATGCTAACTGCGTCATGTAGTTGTTGCTAGGTAGGAGAAACATTATGGCTTGCCCAACCTAACAACCCATGATGTATGCAATTCACATTCTGACTATTGCAATACATTTATTTGTAACAGATGAATGAAGTAATTTGTAACAAGGCACTGAGCAAGATTTGTGCATTAAATTTGATGACATTACGAAAATTGCTTATTGTGTGTGTACATGTACACTTTATATGGAAATGTTCAATGGTTTCAATGGTGTAGTTGTCATTGCATTTTGTCCTAATAGTTTTGTCACATCATTGTGTTTAAAATTGAATAGGCCATTTTCGTAATGTAACCAAATTTATACTTGCACTGCCTCGTTACAATTTATTTCATTCACCTGTCACGAAAAATTGTATTTCATTAGTCAGGATGAAAATTGCATACATTAGTTGTTGCTAGGTAGGGCAGTCCATAATGTTTGTCCTACCTAGTATACAATTAATGTTTGCAATTTGAATTCTTACCATTGAGATATATTTCTTTGTAACGGATAAATGAAATAATTTGCATCGAGGCTCTTCACAAAGACATATTATGCATAAATTTGATTACGTTATGAAAATGGCCTATTGATGCTCAAGAACAGCAAATCTATATATTCTTTCATATGAGTTCTCCACACCTCATGTTTGTAAACACCCATTGTGTATACATGTACACTTTGAATTGTTTCCATAATGTTGCACTCATTTGGTAACGTGTTGTGTGACAACGTTGTTCTAATTCTATTTTTATGAGGGTTCACATGCCTCTGGGTAATAGTGTTGAATTTCACTTTTGTGAGCCCTTGCCCAAACACATTGCTCACTCCCCTTTTCTTTTGTTTCTTTATTACTGCATGATCTGTCAAAATGTCATTGTATTGTGCTTTTATGATTGGCCTTATAAATAATAATAATAATAATAATAATAATTCCTGATGAATAACTGTTGATTATGATCATAGAATGAAATTGATTAAAACTGATATTGACAACTCTTATCCTAATCGCAAATCGGTAAGCTGCTTCCCCTCCCCCCCCCCCCAAAAAAAAAAGAAAAGAGAAAAGACACACCAAAAACATGAAGCGGCAAAATTAATGACACCATACATTGCGCCTCACATTTCTGTATTTCTAATCATATACATGTATATCTGAATTTTTTGCAGTGCTTTATATAACGTTTCTAAGCGCTCAAGCTCCACTCCCTAGGGAGTATTCCAGCCATTCCCCATTTTACGAGCACACACACGTAGAACCACGTACAATCCAACCAAATTAACGTTTTGCGTCCTACCGGGTATCCATGTAACACGTCTGTAGGGGAGAAGGAATGTAGATACAAAAATGCCTTCCATAATGACATATAATAAAGTTCCATGCCGGGGATTGAACCCACGACCTTCCCATCTCAAGTGAAGTGTTTAAACCACTCGTCTGTGATTACCGTGATTACACTTAATCGTGCCCAGTGTTAATGAACTTATGCCTCGATCGTCATCTTTGTGTAACTTTGCGTTTTACTGCACATTTTGCATTCATGTTTGTGTTTTTGTATGTATTCATGTTTGTGTCTTTGCTTGTATTCATATTTGTGTCTTTGTGTCTTTGTTTGTCTTCGTCTCCACCTTCAACAGAAAAAAGCTCGTAAAAAGATGTGCTGTATATTCGGAATCCTCGCAGTTTGCGCTGTTGCCCTAACGCTCATCTTGGTTTTCACGCTCAGATGAGACAACTCTCATGCTTTCAAATATCTCTGTAAAGTCAGAGTTTGATGTCGGTTTCCCTTCTGCAATGGAAAACAATTATATTTGAGGGGTTATTGTTAATCTATTAACTCCTGGACTCTCTTATTCCCGTATTAAGCTTACACTTCATGTACAGTTTTGGTAGCAGAAAGGGAAATTGGAGAGAAACATATTAACTACCGTATATATATATATATATATATATATATATAACAAATACATAATATAAACAATAAAATTAAAAGAAATGTATAACTGATTACACAGGACATGGTGGTACAGAATCTATTTTTAAAGCAATACAAATGTTTTTCCATCTACAAGTATTATCAAATGATACAAATTTGTTATTTTTAAGTACATAAATGTAATGTTCAAGAGGACAATAATACCTTAACATGCATCTAAAAGAATTTAGATGAATTTCATTCAAAGTAACTTTAGCCTCGTTATGAAATGTCGGACATCCGCCTTTGAATTTGACTAGTAATGATATAAATAAAATCTTTAATTTTTGTCTGTATTGGAAACAAGCTAGAGTTTTAGGGCTTGTATTGATATAAAGTAGATGTTACCAAATTAGGAGAGTGGTGTTGTTAGTCTGGGAGCCTGTCCTACACCTCCGGCCATCCCAACGTAATCCCACCTGTAATGCAAGAATGGACTATTTAAGCATATACATTTTTTTTTCTCAATTAAAAGCAATTATGTTCAAGTGAGAATACATAATTTCAGTAATATACATGAACATGTATTTGTTAATATCTTGTGTGTATATGGTGCATCACATTTCATTCAATGACAGAAAGTATCATATTGTGTGCATAACTTGTGTTTTTTTGCATTATTGCTCTTCTCAAATCTCCTTTTCAGAAAAAGGCAAGACGGAAAATGTGCTGCATCTTCTGTATAGTTGCCACAGTAGCCATCATAGTGATCGTTGTCTTGGTCGTAGTTTTGAAGTAATGTGGGTAAAAATACATTTTATTTAAAAAGCATGATGACTATTTTTTCCACATTAAATCATTGAATAATAAAGGGGCACAGTGTAGTAAATCCATTAAACATGACCTCTTGTGTATTAAACCAGGGGGTGTTTCACAAAGATCCTAAGTTGAACTTATCTCTAAGTTGTACTTAACAATTATGGAAAGCCGTTAACATCTATGAAAATATGTTGTAAAAGTCATTTTAAAAGGCATAAAATGTTGATGTGGAATGTATGAAAAGTCTAAAATACTTGAATTTTCACTTTTGAATATATTATTTTTTAAGGCTACAATCGGGAGCGCCAGGAGGGTCAAATCTGACTGACATGAGCGCTATACAAGAATCCACTATTATTATTATTATTATTACAAATGGCTCTCCATAATTTGTAAGTCCAGCTTGGAGTTAAGTTCGACTTAGGATCTTTGTGAAACACCCCCCAGAACTTCAGCTGAGCGATTCACATGATCACAATGGTCATCTGACCAGGCCCGCGCTGTCGAGTCGAATAATCAAAACAGTTTGTTTGTATTAAGACAGGGACTAATTGTGTGGAGATGCAACACAGTCCGCAGATTTCACGTCGTACATTAAGTCAGTCCTGCAGATTGAGAGCTCCATATTGTTTGAATATAGACAAAACCATGTAGCTCCAACGTGTACACTCACGCGAAAATAACCTTCCTGTATACATTGTATGAACACCTGTGCTTTTTTCCTTCATTTTGTTGTTTCATTGAAACCTGTGCAAAATCAACCTGTACATGTACATCAATAGCTGTTAGTACTGATAATTATTATTACATGAAATTCACCTGCTTTAATATAAAGCCACATTTCTGGCCTCCCTTGAGTGGTCTTTGTACTATACAGGTTTCACTATATCTTACATTTGGATGGATTTAAGGGTAAATATAGAATTGTATAACTCTTAATGTAGTTTAACACTCAACCCTGTTAATGCCTATGATCACAGCATCTTAACCCATTTACGACCGAATTCTCTCGAATTCCCATGTACCTATGTGGTTCCCATAGATAATGGGTTTAATCGGCAGAGATTGGTTAAAATTTGATACTTACTTAATTAAAAAAAAAATACAGTTATCTCTGCTTAAAGGGCAAGTCCACTCCAAAAATAACTTAATTTAAATAGAAGCAGAAAATTTTCGTATTAGTTACCCGATTTTGCTCAAACTTTTTTTTGATTGGTTTGTCTAATTTTTCTGATCCTATTGAATGTAAGTTATTTTTGGAGTGGACCTGCCCTTTAAGTTGTATCTGTTGGGACTGCAGAACATAGTGCAACTTATGCAAAATTTGTAGAAAGTGTATTTGACACATTTTTGCATAGTTTGGTAAAAGAAATTGATTTGACCTAGGGAAAAATTTGACTTATGCGACTTCGAGTTATGTAGAGTAAACTTTGCAATGTTTATGTAAACATAACAATGCACTGGTCACTTGTGGGACTTTAATTCATGTGTAAGTGTGTTAAAATATGTATAGAAAGGGTACTGCGAGGCAAAATGTATCCAGGCATATGTCAGCCATTGTGAGCAAGTGCGATGAATTACTTTAAAGTGCCTAACAGAGCATTACCGATTTTGTACTGCTATCTGCCAACCCATCATTTTGAATTCAATATTGTAGGAAGTTGTAGTTTCTGTAAAGACTTTAGTGACTATCTATAATCTTTATATTCTATCAAAAGTTGTCTTTGTCTGATAACTGTTCAATTTTGTTGCAGGCCATTGCACAGTACTGTATCTCAAAATCATGCTACTTCAATAGTTGCACACAAAAGTGTTTAAATGACAAGATTGAGCATGCAATCTTTATTTACTGGGTGCTAGCCAAAATTTCTATACAACTTGAATTTGTCCAGGAAGCCCAACATTCAAAGCTAACCTATTGTCCTTATGGCGGACTGATGAATATCAATAAGTCAGAATTAGGAGAGCTGAGGTATTTGTTTCCAGTTTGTCGTGACTGTGCCATGGACCAGTGATGGCCTGGTGGTAGAGTCGCTGCCCAGCAAGCAGTAGATAGCAGGTTCAAATCCCCCAAGTTCCAAGACTTTTTCTGACTGTGTTTAGCTAGAATAGTCATTCATACATGCACACATGGATTCAGTAACATAGAGACTAATTGTAATGTATCAATTGTAATGTTAGAATACTCGGAACAAAATTAGGAAGATTTTTAAAACTCTAAATCTAAGGCCAAAAGACGCAATAAGCATTCTGAATGCGAGAAATATCTGGAGAGAGGCAGGACGGAAATCATGATTCAGACACAGAAAATATAATGTGTGTGTCAGCAATTCATGTACCAGCTTTTTGACAATAGCGAATAATAGACCGAAATGGAGGGTTATATATGACCACCGATGTCTGTAAACAGACCTGTCACTTTATGCTGATGATATTTATTAATATAATGCCTCAAATTATTATGGTTCTTGTACATGTTGGAGACAAGATTTTTCTTGAAATTTATCACATTCCAGTGTTGTGTTTCATGTCACTAGGCCTTTGTGAGTTTTTCTTCTTTTCTTTCTTTTCTTTCATTTTCTTATCAATCAAGATGTTATAATTACTGTACATAACAAATTTTTTGTGTATATTGAGTATAATGTATTTTTAGTGTCTTGTGCAAGCATATGGCAGCTTAAAATAATGACCTCATACACACAGTACACAGTTCCAATTCTTTATATACTCCTCAAAAAAAGTTCTGCAATTCAAGTTTGAGCATAATAATATATGACAGTCAAACGTGAAATGTTGCAAAATGCATTGTTATTCTTTCAACACACGATACATCCACCAAACAAGTGAAGAACTCACTACATATTGACAATAACAATTCATCCTGCAATATTTCACTTTTGACTTGGCCCCATTTTCTTGTGTACTGCACATTCATTAGTGCACTTGCAAATGGTTTTATGTGTATAATAAACATGTATGTGTACATTTACAATCTTTCAAAGACACGTTTGCGCTATAGAGGGAAATTCCTAGACTTTCTTGCAGCTACCGGGTACGTGTATTTCTATTTTCAAGACAAAATAATTATGGTAAGGGAATGCCTTCTCTTCAGAAAATCTGTGAGATTTATGATTTTAACTTTGTTTTCTTGCAATATCTTATTATACTGTATGTAGTTGTATTATGTTTCCTTCATATTGATCATCTTTCTATAATAGCTGTGTATAGAAATTAGCCTTCAGTATCACCCCAGCACCATTGGTATATGTGGAAGAATATTTAAAATGTAGATATGATGATTACTAAAATATTTATTCCATGATATTAACACAAAAGAATTATAGGGCAGTTGGAAACGAGCTCACAATCATCGATATATGTACTATGGAGAATAATTTATATTCATGTAATGTTGTAAAATACAAATGTAGAAACATTTGTAATGTATTTTGTTGTTGTTGATGAACGTGTCCATATTTTATAGAAATTTTGTATGTATAAGGAGAATAATGTATTATCAAACTAAAAAAAAGTGAATGAAAATAATAAAATATGCAACAAAATTTCATGTTTTTCTGGAGTTTTTATTTCTTGATAATACTAAGAAATTGCAATATACGAATATCTTTAATATGTATACAAATCAAGTACTGAACAATTCTGAATCAGTAAAACATGAAAATATGCTCTTTAATGTAAATTATGTATCCTCTGCGGGAGCCAGGACGAAATCTCTGCATAAATGTGTAAAACGTGTACATGAATGAGCGCTTTTCTGGCTCCCCAGAAACTATAAGCCAAGATTGTGAGCACCTAGTGCCGTTTTCGTATTGTAATACTATTATGAACACACCCTTGAATAGTGTCCAGTGCAATATGGTGCTAATCTTTACAATTGTGAGGAAAAATGATTTGCATGCATAAACTGAATATCCACCCACTACCAAGTTAAAATTGTCAATTCAAATAAGAAATGGTCAAATCGAATATGCACCACATTAGTCTCCTTTATTCAAAAAAATAAAATAAAATAATGAACAAAAATTCAAATGTGTTATTATCAATTTCATGGGTTAGCAACCATTTTACACTGATCCATTCAATTCCATGTGGTAAATTCAAGCGTTACGTAATGACATTTCAATTTCGAAGAAAAAAGAATATTATACACATTCTAACAAAAATGACTATAAAATAATAGTTGCCGGGGGGGGGGGGGGGGGGGGGAGAAAGTTTACATACACGTGGTAGAAAAGCAATATACATTATCAAAACTTCACTCAATCCTGCCAACTTTTCACTGCAGGAAGATAACAAGTTTGGTATCTCAATAAAATGGTCATATATAATTGTACATGTATCTTGTTTTATTTGTACATGAAATTGGCAGTAAGAACATACCCGGTAGACACTTACATGTATTACCAACAAAACGGACTTTATAATACTTATTCGTAAAAATCGTAAATAAACAATGCAATGAATTTCCAAATCTACACCAGTACATTTTGCTTTTTTAGGACATCTACATATAAATGCATGATTACAATAAAGCACACTATAAAAATAATATAAAGCGATTAGATTTTGTCACCTTAAATGTAAATTTCAATACAATCTACATGTACACAATACACATATATATATATATATATATATCATCTTTATTCAGCATAATAAACAAAGAAGTATAAACAAAGAATTATTCCTACTCCTTGTAATTCTGATGTTTTTGTATATTCCTAACTCAAGAACGAAAGGTGGACTGGTTGAATTAGGGTCTTTGTTGAAAACTTTTAGATGTGAGCATCATTATTTAACATTCTCAAGAAACATCAATCAAGAAAAATCAAATTTTCAGATACTTTAAACATTACAAACCTTGGTGATGGTATGAATAATTAAGTGTTTAACTGTACATCATTACACATTCACTATATATCAAAGTCTTCTAACAGATCACATATTTTTCATCAAAAATGGAACTAATAAAAGAGTTGTATGTCATACATTGTATCAAATTATTTCTATTTCTTTATAGAATAATCTCTAGCACTTTTTGAATAATCTAACATTCAAATATTTTAACCCTTTCAGGGCAGGAAATATTTCTATTATTATAGGGCTAAATTAATCACTGTTCTTCAAATTCTTCTTCAATCATATATTTTTTTTATTTTAACACTACAAGGCTAAAATCAAAAATGCAATTTCTCTGACAACAATATACACGGTCGACAATGTTGTCCAATTTTTTTTTTTATAAATGGCTAGTTTTTATCGAAAAACAAAGATTTCTAATCTCTCAACATGTTGCCAATTTAAGGTTTTTAAAACTAACATTCCTCTTTTTAAATTTCTAGCATCACATGCAATATAGTCATGAAACAAAAATGGATGCAGTATGTGAAGAAAATGTTTTCCCTTTAAAGGTAAAGACCAGTTATGGTCATGCGATTGCATTGTGAAAGAAACGTTGTGGAATCGATCAGAAAAGGTTGATCATCTAGCATCTAGCATCTGCAAGGTTCTGGAATCATCAAAATGATAAGAAATTTGGCCCATTCTTCGTAAAGTTACAAGCACTATGCACAGAAAGATGTATATGGGACTACCCTATATCTCTCACAGACCATGAGAGAAACAAATTTACCAAATATATGAATTAGTAGGCGGTTTCCCGGCAAATTTTTTATCATCATGTATTAATTAGTCAAAACATATTCTTTCACATGATTGGTAATGAGAGCTTCCATTTCATTTTTTGAAATTGGGGCGTTTCCAATACTGGTCTTTACCTTTAAAATTGTGGATCTGGTATATTTTTTAATATGGCTCTGAATCAAAAATTATTGAGCCAAAATGTGAAATGATTGATGCAAAAAAATGCACCGTAGAAAGTAGCTATGTAGTATGTACATATATACATGCAGTGCATGCATGAATGTCATATTCATCTTCAAGCTGATATACTCCAATGTGTGCATTTCACACTGTTTATCAAGATGATCATGCTTGTAATGCTTCACTGTCTCTTACTTCTACAATGTGTGTCGTATTTGAAACCAATACACTAAAGAAGAGTCAAATAGATGAAAATTCACTTTTCTTTGTACATAATACATGTATAAAACTTAAACTTAATCCTTAATCCAAAACTCATGAGTTATTCAAAATAAAATCTGCAGCTTCCTCAAAACATATACAACAAATTTTAATGGGATACATTTGTTCAACAGTACAAAATGTCTTTATACAGAATTCAGTACTGATGTATTGCAGTTATCATGTTGCAGGAATACATGGATATTGCTCCTTTCATAGAATTTCATGTCTCCTACAAGCAACTAAACATACTTTTTTGTTTGTCTTGACTGCTAAGAAAACGTGTATGCTTGTCAGTAAGCAAACCAGGGGACCAACAGCTTTAAGTCCTCTCCCAGGGACTTGGTAATGAGGATTAATACCTAATATCAAAGAGCAATAGACTTGGCATCGACTTGATTTCGAACCCGGGACCTCCCCCTTATGAGACCACTGCTCTACCACTGAGCCATCGCGCTTCCTCACTTGCCTTACTCTGAAATACTTTGTAGTTTTGCATGTACGTAAAAGTACATTGTTGAAGCAAAAGGAATTTGTAGGGGAAAGGGGGGGGGGGGGGAGGGAGATACAACAGAGTCTAACTCATCTTTAGACATCCTGGTACCAATAATTTTTTAGAAAGAAAGTTAGAACACGCTTATATTTCATTCACAATTTTATACCTCACTAATAGCCCATTTTCGTAATGTCACTAAATCTATGCATATGCTTTTCTGAAGTGCCTCAATACAAATTAATTCATTCACTTGTTACGAATACATGTACGATGTATCTCAATAGTCAGAACGCGAATTGCACACATTACTAGTTGTTGCTAGGTAGGACAAACATCATGGCTTGTACTATCTAGCAACATGTAATATATGCAATACGCATTCTGACTATTGAAATACAATTCTTCGCATCCGGTGAATGAAATAACACATATCGAGGGACTCATGTATAAATTTGGTTACATTACGAAAAGGCATTTTATGGGATACATTTATTTAACAGTACAAAAAATTATTGTAATACAAGACATCATCTAAATCAATCTTCATGTACGTCCACATTCAACACCAAGAACCAAGGACAGAGGTAGTTGATAGGACTTCAATGAATAATTCATTAGACCAATAAGGGGGTGGGGAGTGCTGGGAAATGAGCTGGCGCCGTATCAATATCCAAATAAAAAATTATTTGCTGGTACCAATAATTTCATGAGAGGATGTCATAAATATTATTTGATACATCAACAGTTATCTTATGAATAGACAAAAGCTGTCATGAAATCAATGTCTCTTTATTGTTTAATAATAATTATAATAATATTTAATTTTTTATACAGTGCTTAATACAAATGTCTCTAAGCACTTTACAAATATACTATTACCCCGGTCATTGGATTCAGTGCTTGCCCGCACACAATGTTCAGGATCAACTTGGTCAACATCAATAAATATTTTTAAACGGTGCTACATATAAATGTAGGAAATCTTCACCTACATGCATACCTTAATTCTTTCCTACCATGTCTGCCCTGCAAAAATTCTCAAAACTAACATAAATCACAAAAAGTAAAATGTGATACATCTCAAGTCAATAGACCTCTCTTCAAAACCCTTTACAAAATATGTGTATTTACATGTATGTCTTATATCATAAATGTGAAATTCTCATAATTAAACAATCAAATAGTCAAATCAAACAAGAACAAAAGCAAATCTATACTTCCCTAACAAGTGCTTTCGAGGCAAGAATTCTTTTCCATATGAGTGATAGCAGATTTTTCACAGAAAAGATTTATTTTGCTTTGTTTGCTTTAATACCCTTGCATGCAAAAACAATCAAAAAAAATCAAAATCAATTGCAAGTGCAAATAAAATAACTATGTAAATTTCACAATCAAAACTCAGCTTTCATCTTCAGAACGTAGTAAGATAATTGTAGATAATAGTGAGAGTTGTCACAAAATATAACAAGCAAAAAATCTGACAAGGGCAAGGAAAAATTGTGGCCTGCTACGGTGGATAATGACACCCTCCTCAAACTCAAGCTCCACCACCCTCGGCACCGGCTCAGAAGCAGGCTAGAGCCTCAAGAGCCTCTGGGCCGTATGCATAAAAAGTAGCAATTGCTTGTGCTAGCCTTTTACTTGAATCCGTATGCATAAACATAAGCGATTGCTTGCAAGCAAATGCTTTTGCTAGCAAGCACAAGCAATTGCTTGATGTCCGCAAGCAATTGCTTAAAGATCAAGCAATTGCTTAAAAACGTATGCATAAAACGAACCTTTTGCTTGTTCTTATAAGCAATTGCTTACGTTTTTTCAAGCTCCGTCATAGCAGCTTGAGCTCTTGCTTAAACGGGACGTTCGCGGTTAAGCATCATGTTTATGCTCGTTAGAGAAAAACCAAAGTTGTACAGGAGTAGAATAAATCGAGAAGAAATTGCTCCCGGGACCTATCGGAAACTATTCCGTTTCGACAAAGAGAACGTTGAGTGGTTAGCACACAGGTTCATACCTGAACATGATGAAAAACGGGGAGGATGTCATGTCAGGAAAGGCTACCCCACACGCATGACATTTGAATACACTACTAGTATGCAAAACCCGCCTTTGTTCTCCCATGAATGATGTTCGCACCGGCGTGACGTCGCTATTGTTGAGATCGTAAGCAATTGCTTGCTGGAGGCAAGCAAAAGGTTTGAGCACAAGCAAAATGTTATACATACGGATTTAAGCAATTGCTTGAGCTTGATATTTTGCTTGACAAGCAATTGCTTGTGCTTGAAGCAATTGCTTGCAAGCAATTGCTACTTTTTATGCATACGGCCCTCTATGTCCGCGGAGGCAGATCGATTTGAGGCAAGCACAAGTTATGATTATGAGCTCCCATCATGCACTCAGCAGGGGGTAGATGAAGACATTACATCGACGGTTCAGTGACACAAAGACGTAACTTCATATTTTGCCAAAATGAGTATTTGATATTAAAACGTTCAGAAAAATGTGGGCTTTCCAGGTACATGTAACTCAAAGGCTTAACTCCACCCAACACCCCATTGAAGTCAATGGCTAGTGAAACATAGACTTAAATCCTTAAGGCCCAAGTGCTCAGTGACACATAAACCACTTTTTCTCAAAATGGCCAAAATGGAGTTACGTCTGTGTGTCACTGACCCCTTCACATGTACTTATGCTGAAGACGAGTCGATGCTTGAGGATGAAATGGGGCAACACTTGCATGCTGACTCTGACACTCTTATCCCTGCTTTTGCAATGAAATTTGCAGCACAGACAGATGTGGGTGCACCACTAGACAATCAAAACCAATACACTATGAGCAACAGATTATGATGGTGCCTACATAGATCTCATCAAATCATTGGGGAGTTCATGAATAAGGAATTTGCTGAAACTGCTGTACATTCTCTATGACGCCAGAAGAAACCTGGTCTCATCGTCTTCCACAGTATCATATTTGATGACCTGCGCAGTGTGGGAGGAAGGTCGCCATCTAGTGTTGAACATCGTATTTGTGATAGGGTCAATTGTGGAGCCTTTGTCTTCTTCACATGTAATTTAAATTTCTCTAGTGTACTACACAGAGCAAAAAAAAAGTCTTTCCTGAGGTCCATGGTCCAGAGTTTTTTCTTATTGTAACATCATTGTCTTTTCAGAAGTCCATGCCGAAGTAAGCAAACAAAGTGAAGATCAGCATGATCAGGATGAGCACTCCAAGAAACATCAGGAAGGCTGGGTATTCACCTGATAAGAGAATAAAACAGAAATATTTTTTGTTTGAGTTATCGCTATGAATTAGGATAAAGTTGATGAGATAAATAATTTAAAGGAGAAGTCCACCCTGATATTAAGTTGGTTTTAATAGAAGTAGAACAAATGAGAGAAACAGCTCAAGCGTAAGCAACATCCTATTAAAAATAAGAAAGTCAGGAATTTTTGAAGTTGCGATTAATCAAACACAAATTGGCAACACTGAAACGTATCTTGCGAAGTTCCCTCCCATGTCCTCTGTCCTCTGTACTAAAAAATATCAGAAATGTATATTTTTCCTGAAAAAAAATTCCAATCACACATGCACCCTAAATACAATCCTTGCAAATATGTTCCTACATGTATACAACCCCGGTATGAAACAAATCTATTTCATCATCAACATCAAAGAAATGAAGGTTTATGAAATTTTCTGTACAGAGCAAATTGGAGAGGACCTCGCAAGATACGTCACAGTGTTGCCAATTTTTGTTTCACTGGTGACAACTTAAAGCCCCTCTGCACTAGTTTGGCATGGAGGGATCAGAACTCCATGCGAGGTCACTGTCAGGTGGTTATCTCATCAAACCAGCTCTCAACTAAGAATAAAGCCTCATGGGGGATCAATGGGTACCGCTTAGGCATTGTTGGCTGTATAGAGGACGCAAGTAGCTATAAGTAGGGCAGAGGGGCTTTAACAAATTCATAACAATGCCCAGAAGAAAAAAAGAAAAAAAAAAAAAGGAAAAAAAAAGAAAAAATACCTGATCTGGTGACGGTAACTAGTCCAATCTTCTTGTCAGCTGATAGGCTGAGGACGGCAGCATCCTTGTCCCCGACAACTCTCCTTGAATTCCTCGTCATTGGAATGAAAGAGAGACCTGTGATGAAGATACTGTGCGCGTTGTCCACCCATTTCACTTTCTGCGTTTAGGACGATGAAAGAACAGATGATATCTTTCATTAAAGAAACGGTTGAGTTCTGGTAAACTTGACAAATAATTCCTAAACTTTCTTGTTCTCTTTTTGTCAGTTTGGGAGACTGTCATCGTACATTTCATTTGATTTAATTTAGATCTAGATCTAATATCTATCTATATTCTAGATGTAGACTTTATTATAAAACTGTATTGCCGACTTGTCTTATAAAACAAATAATGCACAATTTTGCTTGTGTGTTCAATAAGGCAGTTCCAGTGCACTCAGGTTAGTCAGTGCGATATCGATAATGCACTTTCCCCGCCGGCGCGTGCATTATCACTATGGGCACTGACCCTGCCCTAACACACTCGCAACAGTGCATTAATTGTATAATAAACCCATGTACTACATGAATGTTGACACAATATTCTGATGACCTACCTGTAAGCTGAATGTAACGTAGATACCCACTGAACCTGACATAGTACCGACTCCAACATAGTAACCACTGTGACTGCAAAACAAAACATAGATAGACGTTACCTTACTTTCCTTTTACAATGAAGCAAACTACATTTCCCATAAAGTCGGTCACATTCCCTCACATGCCCCTCCTTGTAAAATGGAGTAAAACAAACAAGTAAAACCCTGGTTTGTAAACATAAATCAATAGCAATATACTGTATGATGTTAATTGTATTATGCATTTCATATTTTCATTTTACACTGTGCCATATCTCTCAACCAAATTTCCTAATCTTATCACTTCTCTTTAACATGTTTCTCTTTTGGATGAATTTGGAAGCACTTTTTGGATGCATTTTTTTTCACTCTCTTTCTCTATTCTTTTTCAAAATCAGTATTGCCCAAACCTGTCTACAATCTATTATTACATTCTTGTAAATCTCACATCTTACTCTTCCCTTCATACAATACACACCTCTTTATTCCCTCTACATCTTCTATCATCAAAGAAAATCCCCCCCCCCCCTCAATGATAATGGACTTACCTGACTGCAAGTGCTGAGAGTATGTCATCCCCTGTACATACTGTCTTGTCTATGGTGAACTTGTGACTGTTCCATTTTGTAATATAGGAGGGTTGCCTACCTTTCTTCTGTATGTGAGGGGTGTGCGTTGTGAACATCGTGGAGTTGCTGACATCGCCATTCAGGAATGCATATCTACAATTTGATGGAGGTCAGATAAAAGGTCAGAGGTCAGATAAAAGGTCAAAGGTCAGAGTCAATGTATGGATAATATACATAATAATCCTAATCTATATGTAGAAATGTGTTTCACAAAGATCCTAAGTTGAACTTATCTCTAAGGTGGACTTAACATTTATGGAAAGCCATTAGCATCTATGAAAATATTTTGTAAAAGTTACTTTAAAAGGCATAAAATGTTGATTCAAATCATTTATATTTCCGATTATCAAGGAGATTTCTTGTTCTTGATGTGGAATTTATAACAAGGTCTAAAATACTTGAATTTTCACTTTTATTTCATTTTATTTTAAGGCTACACATGGCTCTCCATAATGTTTAAGTCCAAGTTAGAGTTAATTTTGACCTTTATGAAACACCCCTGGTCTAGCAGCTAAGTCTCTAGACAGTGAACCACAAGGTATAGGGTTCAAATATCTGCTGCAGCACTTACGTCCTTCAGCAAAGACATTAATCTACAGTTGCCATGTCATGTCAACCCAGGTGTAGCAAGAGGGTACCTGGTAGGATTTATTCATTGAATGCATTGAGTGCTACGGTTGTCGGACCTAAAGCTAGATAAATAAAATCCAAAATCCTTTCGAAGTGCACAGAGGTGTTATATCATAATTTGATATATGCTATTCAAAAACATAATACTGTTATTATTATTCTTTCAAAATCTATACAGGAATTAGAAAATTTCAACAGTAAATTTTTAGAACATTGCTCCAACTTGCTACCACCGGCTGCTTCTTTTTTCAACATAAATTAAATAGTACCGTATAATTATAATAATGTGATTTTGTAATGCAAATGTGTCTGTTCTGATATTATTTGTATTCCTCTATATTTGTAGAAAAAGACATATTGAGTGGAAATTAAATTAGTGACATAACAAGGGATTGCTATTAACACTGCTATCACATACTAACTGTGAACTGATACAGTTTACAACTAAATTATTCATACCCTTTGTAAATTTGAAGTTTTATGAGTTTTTCATCACTCAAGAATGAAAGGAAGACTGGTTGTATTAAGACCTTTGTTGAATACTCTTTGATGTAAGCTTTAATATGTCACATTCTCAAGAATTGTATTTTGGGAAAGATCAATTTTTCACATACTTATTGGTATTAAAGGGTATGAATAATCTAGTTCTTAACTGTATCACACATACTTACAGTGAAAAAATATGAGACCTACAAATAACGATTATGACTTACCTACAAGAGCCAAATCTGTATGATTTATGATCCGCACATTCTTCCCATTCTAATTCACACATCTTACTGCCGTCTTTCGTATTCCACACATAAGCCTTCTGGTCTCTGGATATGGTGATAAGCTGTTTAGGAGGAATATAGAGAATGACTATTACTAACAACAATGAACACTATTTGGAGAAAAAACTGAAGAATTTAGTCAAACTGAGAAATAATTTCTTCTTTTATTTGTGACACATATTTACATGCATGGATAATTATTTCTGAACAGCCAACTTGCTTAGCTAGTAATAAACATTTCTCAGTTTTTCTGAATTACATTTACTGAATTTCATTGCTTTCCATATTAATCTTTTCCAACCTTTTTTGAAAGGAAGTATGAGATACTTAAGTAAAAATACTTTTAAAGCCCGTCTGTACTAGTTTGGCCAGGAGGGATTAGATCTGCCTGCGTGGCCACTGACTGGTGGTTATCTCATCAAATCGGCTCTCAATTAACATTAGAAAAAGGGGATCATTGAGGACCAACGGGTACCACTAAGGCATTGTTTGGTATATAGAGGGTGCAAGTAGCTTCAAGTAGTGCTGTCCTGCTTTAAGAGGTTAACGTGTCCCTGATCAAATGAAATTAAAAGTACAAGATGCAAAACATTGATCTATTGATGTATCAATACTGACCTTATTTCCCAGTGGACTGATCATGATGTCTTCGATGTCTTTGGAATGTGCTTCAATGTCATACACTTTCTCTATCGTTGGATACTACAAAATGGAGAAGGAAACAACTCCGAGATTTGCGAATTGCATACATTTCGTGTTGTTAGGTACGGCAAGCCATAATGTCTGTCCTACCTAGCAACAATCAATGTATGCAATTCACATTCAGACTACTTACATGTACATACAATTATTTATAACAGGTGAATGAAATAAATTGTAACACAGCACTTAGCAAAGATTTATGAATTAAATTTGATTACACTATGAAAACCACCAACTGATAATTTCTAGAATTGAAGATTACTACTAAAAAAAAATATCCAAAGACATTAAATAAAAAGCTAATACTTAGCTGATGTAATAAAAAATAGTATCATTCTAAATCCCAGGTGGGTAGATATCAATGGTGGTATTCTCATAAGTTAAGCCGGGACTACATGTAAGTCCAGACTAAACAAGAATTTTAGTTAACACTTCTATGGAATGCTTGCTTTCATCTTCCAAAGACTTTGTTGAAATTCAGATCATACTCATATTATCTTTTTCTTCCCATTTCATTGCAAAATTAATTTTTTGACACTTTTAATTGACGGATTAAAATAATCTGTACAGGGTAAATGAGTTGGCAACAGGCACTCCATAAAAGTGTGGACTAACTTAGTACGTGCTAACTTGGTACGCGCTACCGAAATATCCACCCATTGAATTTCAGCTAATATAAAACCTGAAACTATTAAACACATCTACAAGTTTTGTTGTTGATGTTGTAGTCTGTTTCTTACTGTTCATTTTCTAGATTTTTTTCTTCATGGAAATTTTTCTCAAGCAACTAATTTTCCCTTTTGACTAACAAGAAATGTTCAAGAATTGCAAAATTGGGTTGTGTGATTCAGTTATTTTGTGGCATCGAACTCCAGTAAATCTGCATTTCTTGCAAAATTCTGAACCCCTATGTTTTCTGCTTCCACAGTATTCAATATGCAGTGTAGAGGTGTCGTGGTCGAGTGGATATGTCACCGGACTGTGGATCACAAGGCCTGCGGTTCAAGTCCCACAGCAGCACTAATGTTCTTTGGCACGACATTAATCTACATTTGCCACTCTCAACCCAGGTGAGGTAAATGGGTACCTGGCAGGAATTATTTCCTTGAAATGCTCGGACGGCATAATGGCAGCCATGCTAAAGCCGGGGCAACAATTTTCAAGTTTGGAAGCGCATAGGGCATTTAAATGTAATATGCAGGGGCGTAGACAACGGGGGGGGGGGGGGGGGGGGGGGGGGGGGGGGGGGGGGGGGGGGGATGAGGGGGATGGCATGTACAATCACCCCCCCCAGGTTTTGGGGAATGATATTTGCTTACTTAATAAGTCATAATGATGATAATAATAGTAATAATAATAATGATAACAATTATAATATTAATAATAATAATAATTATGATGATGATAATAATAATCCTCATCATTATTGTAATTGTGTTTATTGTTATTAGCCGCATTCACACGGTGAAAGCCAATTCAGACGGTAAAAAAAAAGAAAATCTTACAAGTATTTTGTGGTTATCTTGTGGTTTGGAAACCACAAGATAACCACAAGATTAATCGCGCATATTTTGCAGTGCGTGCAATCTCGTGGTGTGGAAACCAAAAGATAACCACGAGTTTTGCGTGTTCAAATGGGGCAAACCACAAGATAACCACAAGATACCTCTAAGATTGCAAACCACAAGATAACCACAAGATAACCACAAGATTGGCTTTTAACGTGTGAAAGAAGCTATCGAAAATCAGGGATGCGGATTACGAGCGTACGCCGTGTTATGTGCGCATTTGCGGGGAGAGAAGGAACGCGCTAAGGCAGTTAACTAGAAAACAAAAACACGTGGTGAGTCCGCTCAGCAGGAGGCCTTGTCTTCCTTAACTTTTTAAGGGGGAAATATATGTGAGTGTGTCACTTACAAAATTCACAGCGTGAATTGATTTAGGATTCTAGGATGGCTCATAATAAGAAGTTGAAAACATCAAAGATCACTTCTTTTTTCAAGCACAATGAGAAAGAAGAACATGATGACGAACAGCTGTCTACATCAAAATAGGATGATGTTGGAGATAGGCCTGTTCTTCCTGAAGTTCAACCAGAAGACAGTGCCGTTGAGGGTGATGGAGCATCTGAGGCGAAAGATGATGATGAAGCTGATGCCGGTTTTGACGACTGGGTAAGCCCCAATCACCCCCCTACTTCTTCCATTCCCGTAGTAGAAACTAAAACGCAGAAAATTCTGTTTCAGGCCAAATGGTACAAAAGCTACCCCTGGATCCATTACGAACCCTCCCTGAAACGGGTACTGTGTTTCTACTGTGCACAGGCAGAAAAACGCGGACTCTTGAAATTGGCCAAGAACAAAGAACCAGCATTTGTTTCAATCGGCTTTTGTAACTGGAAAAAGGCATCACCCAGATTTGAGAGCCACCAGGCTTCAAATTGTCACAGAGTCGCAAAGGCAGCGATTTCCTTGAAACCTGAGGCTAAAATCGATGTCAAAATGGACGCCAACCGCCGTCAACAGCAGGAAACAGCTCAACGAGCACTGATGAAGGTCTTCAAGAGCTTGCGATTCCTTCTGCGACAGGGTCTGTCATTTAGAGGCCACACAGCTGAGGAGGGAAACTTCCAACAGTTGCTGAACGTCTTCCGCGATGATGATGAAGGACTTGACAGATATCTCAAGCGGTCAATCAGCTTCACATCTCCACAGGCCCAAGAAGAGATGATCCAGATGTTCGGTGCAGACATAGTAAGAACACTTGCGGCACAGATTGCGAAAGATGGACCGTTCGGAGTAATGGTTGATGGGACACAGGACATCACTGGAGTCGAACAAGAAGCTATCTGCTTCCGCCACGTTGATGACAATCTGGATGTACATGAAGAGTTTGTGGGATTGTATGAGCTGCCGTCCACATCTGGGGAAATGATCTCGAAAATGATTTTCGATGTAATCACCCGCCTGTCACTGTCGACTGACAATTTGAGAGCCCAAACATGATGGTTCAATATGCAATACTATGTGTCAGTCCATTCTGTATTCGTATGCCACGGTGTGTAGATCTTGTCGATGTATGTCTGTCCATTCAAGGCGTAGTATGTGTGTGTGTGTGTGTGTGTGTGTGAGCTCTCACTTCAGCATTCTTGTGGGGTTTTATGTGCGCTTCACATACCCCTTGTGAGGCATTTTTACTTTGTGGGGTATTTTTTCAGGACCCCACAGAGTAAAGTCTTTCAAATGACTGTATATTCGGTGTCCTATGCCCTGCGGGGCATTAGAAGTGGTACCCCATAAATGACTTTTTGTGAGCGTGTGCTAAAACTTGCACACTTTTTTATGGTAACATCGTAAGCACACCGCCGGGTTGTTATCGCCAGGTTGTACATACCCCACTAGTAGGGGACCACAAGGTATATCTGGAACGCACAGAAATACCCCACAATCAGGTGCCCCACAAAGGCCCTGATGTGAGAATGTGTGTATGCGTGTGTGTGTGTGAGTGCACGCTTGTGTGTGTTATTTTACCTCATTAAGTATGCATCAGATTGCACGATTTCAAGTTCAAAATTGCAAAAGATCCCTACCGTGGGAGGGGGGACACCCCCCTCCCACACCATCCCCCCGCTCGGTCGCTTCGCTCCCTCGCTCGGGCGCTTCGCGCCCTCACTAGCCCAGTCATCCCCCCCAGGTGTACGAACCTGTCTACGCCACTGGTAATATGGGCTATACAAGAACCAAATATTATTATTATTATGTACACTGTATGTAAATTTTACCCAAGGGATTCCATCCCTAAATAGGAACTTACCGTCCACATTCGTATGTGACCGTCGACACCGCCTGTGACAAAGTACATCCCGTTTGGGGAGAAGCAGACAGCATTCTGGCTCGAATCGGTCGGGCTAAAATCCGTCTGAACCGACTGAAGACGCTTGACATCAAAATGGACCAGTTGTCTGCCAGGTGGAGCCCCCGATTTCTTCTTGCCATTTGATTCAGACGACTTCTTTTTTCTTTTCCTGAGAGTGACTATAACAAAATTAAAAAATCAAGTTGAAATCTAATCTTATTGATGGTTCTTATTTGTTTTTTCTTTCTTTTTTCTTGCAAGGTCACAAAAATGAAGACTAAGCTAACACTCTGCAAATCTTGAAACCTTGAAATATTTAATAATCCCTGGCTTTAAATCTGTCTACACTAGTTTGGCCAGGAGGGATTAGACCTCCCTGCATGGTCACTGACTATGGTTATCTCATCAAATCAGCTCTCAAGTAACGTAAGAAAAAGGGGATCATTGGGGACCAATGGTCACAGATTATGCATTGTTTGCTATATAGAGGGCGCAAGTACCGGTAGCTATAAGTAGTGCAGTGGGGCTTTAAGCAGCTCCTAGAGCCTATCCCAGGATGGTGATATGCAGTGTGAGATGCCTCCCTTAAAGGGAGTGTAGCCTGACTTGGGCCAATCAGGTATAATACGATAATTCGTTCACATGCAGTTGTCCAAAAGAAGACGTAGATGGCATTAACCAATATTTGCCAAGCTACACTCCCTTTCAGTAAATAATAGCATTTTCTCGATTGTACAATAAAATGTGAGTGTGTCATATGCAAGTAAAATATGCCTCTGTGTTCATGGCATATGAAGCCCAACAGGAGGCTGCATATCACACGAATGACTGGCAGTGTAGCCTCACTGAAGTCTGAATGCAGATGGACTAATGATTTTGACAATAGGACCCGCAAGATGGTTCCAGGTTCTAACAGTGCATCGCAGTACTAGAAAGCAAATCACAAAACTATAAGGCGCACCCCTATTCGAGGATTCCCCCCCCCCCCCCCCCAAAAAAAGAAGCATTTTCCTCTTCTTTCCAACATGACTTTTGATTCATTATCACTTTGCTTGGTATTTTCCAATAACATTTTCAACAGATAATAATAATAATAATAATAAAAACACAGCTTGTAAAGCGCTTACTACTAAAGTCGCTAAGCGCTATAACAAACAAAATACAATGATAAACAATTACATATTAAACAAAACAAAAAAATTACAAATAAACCTACCAATTACAATACATATGGAACATATTTATTCCATTCCAATGAAAGTTGATACATGTATCACCCATACCATAATGCATATGATAATAATAATAATTATTAAAAAAAAAAAAAAAATCTTCTATTCTCACCTTCATCCTCTTTACTCTCCTTCCCTTTCTCTTCTTTTTCTTCATCATCCCTTCCCATTGTCTGAGCGATGAGTGATTTCACCGTCTTGTTCATCTGGTACATCTGACATCTTTCATTCTTACTAGCCGCCATCAGGTACTCTTTACCATCGTACCTATAAGAAGATTTTTAAAGTGACTCAGTAACTTTGTCTCAGATTCTGAAACAAAATCCTGGATTAAGCTCATGCTGCAAAGATAATTATAAACCTTTAGGTCAGTCAGGAACCATGTGACTTTTACAAGCCGATCACCTGTCTGATTATCAAGATATTTATGATTGGAAATCAAAATCAAATTCTGCGTTTCCTAAACGGTTTAGACATCTAGGGTGTCCAGGGGGTGTTTCACAAAGATCCTAAGTCCAACTTAACTCTAAGTTGGACTTTAACATTTTGGAGAGCCATTTGTAGCCTTAAAATAAAAGATATTCAAAAGCAGAAATTCAAGTATTTTTTAATTTTGCATAAATTCCACATCAACAACATGAAATCTCCTTTATAATAGAAAATATGAATGATTTGAATCAACATTTTATGCCTTTAAAATAATTTTTACAAAATATTTTCAAAGGGGCTAACGGCTTTCCATAATTTTTAAGTCCAACTTTAGGATCTTTGTGAAACACCCCCATGGACACCCTAGATGTCTAGACCCCTGCTACGCCACTCGATATACAAGAATGTTTGAATTACCTCAAGGCGGCATTCATGATAGCACTCTGGTCATCTCCGTTGTCCGTGTTGAACCTGCATTTTGACTGGATAGCGATGCCACTGCTTCCTAACTCCACTTCAAATATTTCCTAATGGGCGAGACCGTGAAACAGATAATTAGGAGATCAATACACAGGTATTAGATATTATTGGGAATAATGTTGTACCCCTGCATAGCTTTATGTGCAGACTAGGCTCCAATAGGTTTGTGTGTGTGTGTGGGTGTGTGTGTGTGTGTGTGTGTGAGCCAAGACTAGTCCAGGGTAGATCATACTCAAAGAGAGAGGGAAATAATTATTTAAAATATATCATTTTTAACTTGGATATCCAAAATTTGTAGCAGAGTAATAGTTTGAAAAGTCCCTGAATCTGGTAATCTAGCAAATTTGAGTAAATCAAATCTTCCTTATAACGATTTGGCGTTTGTTTTGCACCAGTGCAGCAATAAATTCACGACTGTCCCACATAGGTGAGTGGAAGACAAGGGATGGCAATTCATTTTAACACAGTACAAATTAAGTAGTTCTGTGGCATGTTCCCATTTCATCATTTTGACACTTCTGAATTCAACATTTTTGGATTCCGCATTGCAGATATGTTTACAATGTGTTTACTATATACCTTGGCATACAGTTGTGTATGGAATATCAAATATCCATACAAATTGTGGAACAAGTATAGATCTACTCGAAAATGGGTTGATTTGCAGAAAATAGATCAAGCAGTCATTAAAAAGAGGGGAGTCATGCCTATGTTAAAGGGAAATTCAACAGAGAAGTAGACTGGTGAAAGTTTACCGTAAATGAAATCTGACGAAAAATAATTATGAATTTTGGAAAGTTGTAATCATTTTATGTATGGGCATTTCTCTGACAAAGTGCATAACTACTTTCAACACAAAATATGATTAATATGTAAATTTAAAAAAATGTAAGATTAAGGAAGTTTTTTTTCTTCAGAGGACCCATAAATAATGATATGCTTTTCATAATGTATTTTGATTTCTGATTTCGGAAGAGGAAGGCTTCTGATTTTGACAAACTTTTAATTTTTAATTCATACGTTTAACTTCTAAATTCTTGTTTGATGTGTAAACTTTCTTTCTGGTCTGAGAATGAGTATCGTCCGCATAAACAATGTTATCCTCGGAAATGCAGTCAAATCGCGTCCTGAAAAATAAGGATCATCCGCATTTTCGCAGACATTTTCTGCGCTCTGCGGGTGTAGGGTTCCCGATGCGCACGCTGACAATTCGAAAAAACGGATTCTGCATACTAAAATAGCCTATCCCCAGTTCACCATCTACAATTTATTGGTTGTCATGTCTTCCCGAGGGTATATTGCTTTTAACGTGAAATTCTCTGTGCAAAGTCAATGTAGAATGCATCATGGAGCATCATGGAGTTTTAGGGAATTTAATTCACCTAAATAAAAGAAATAGAAATAGATTTCTTTCCTACCTTGTCTCGTAGAAACACCTGTTGAGTACAGATACTTGGAACATATATTATATCACAAGTAGTAGTTCAAATATTGCACAGCACCCGTAGAAAGAATATGTAAGACCATGTACAAGGTAATGACGCTTCTTCGCGAATTAAGTAAAGAAGAAGAAACTTATAATCTCTATAAAGTAATAAGGCCTCAGAACCGAGTAGAGAAACAAGCGAAGAAATAGGACAAGAATTAAGAAGCTGAATTAGCTTTGCTGTTGATCGATCGACTCTCTAGAATAGGTGTGCTCTATATGAACAGCTCAGGAGAAGTGATCAAAATAGGTGTGGCAAATAAAGCAAGCAAGTGTAATGTCCCTGTACAGTATAAGCTATACCAGTACATTAGGTGGTTGCACATCCCAACCCATAGGGTATGGAATGTGCTTGCCAGAGTAAGTATTTGTGGCACTCTAGTAATGCAACAGGTGTCACTAAAGAAATGAGTGACAATGGAATAAAAGGCTAGACTTCAAGCCACACAATAAAGACAAGACAATAATATTTACAAATGCAAAGTTCTCCAAAGGTCAAGTCACTACAGTAGCTCCCCTCTAGATTTGTTGTCGAATGAAAAGTAGCAACAAATCGATGAGGAAATATAGACCTACATGCATGTTGACTTGAAAATACGAAAATATGGTAATACTGCTGAAACACAGTAAGTTTAATATGCTTCACCCGACTTCGAAAAAATCCACGAACCTCACTGGCCATCTAACTTGACGACCAGACCTGGTCTTTCGAATCTCAGGAGTGTTCTGCTTCAGTGCAGGATCCAATGCTAACGGTGCAGGATCCAGTGCTAACGGAGCAGGATCCAGTGCTAACGGAGCAGGATCCAGTGCTAACGGAGCAGGATCCAGTGCTAATGGAGCAGGATCCAGTGCTAAGTCTGCGGAGTTGGATTGCCGAGGGACTTGGATAGGTGGATCTTGACCCTTCTTAGATTGAGCAGGGAGATCTTGCTCCATGAAAGCTGGTTTAAGTCTCTCAACACTGACAGTTTCACGTTTACCATTGTAATCAATAGTAAAAAACTTGTCAGAGCGTTGAAGGACTCGAAAAGGCCCCCTGTAAGGAGGTTGAAGGGGCCCCTTGACTGCATCAACCCTCAAAAAGACGTGGGATGAGGAATGCAACTCTGGGTGTACCTGTGTAGGGGTAGCTCGTTGTTTGCGAGTAGGGGTGGGATGTAATTCACGCATCAGTCTCTTCAGTCTGTGGGCGTAATTAGCTGGATCGCCAGCAGAGTCAGTCTGTGAAGGAGACACAAATTGGGCCGGTAGCATGACCGTAGTACCAAAAACGAGTTCTGCTGCGGAACATCCCAGATCAGACTTGATAGCTGTACGTATACCCAGCAATACCAAGGGAAGGACCTCAGTCCAACGGACTGTGTTATGCGCCTTGAGAGAGGCTTTGAGTTGCCTGTGAAAACGCTCAACAAGCCCATTGGCTGCTGGATGGTATGCTGTTGTGCGAATGCGTTTAGTGCCAAGAAGATTAGTGAGAGCAAGGAAGAGTGCTGACTCAAATTGTCTACCCCTGTCTGTAGTAAGAGTAGTTGGAGCACCAAACACCGCTACCCATCTGGCCACAAAAGTACGTGCTACAGTATCCGCAGTGATATCTGGGATAGGTATAGCTTCTGGCCATCTGGTGTAACGATCCACACAAGTAAGAAGGTACGTGTTACCCTCTGAAGTAGGAAGTGGGCCTACAAGATCGATGTGCACATGAGAGAAACGCGCATCAGGTGAGGTAAAAGTGCCAAGTGGAACTTTTGTGTGTTTATGCACCTTGCATCTCTGGCATTCAAGACATGTTTTGGCCCATTTCCTGATATCATGATTAATACCAGGCCAAACGAAACGTTCCGTGATGAGCTTTTGAGTGGCCCTGATCCCAGGATGGGATAGTCCGTGGAGGGCGTCAAAAATAGCTCGTCTGTGTTTGACTGGAACAAGGGGTCTAGCAACACCTGTCGAAACATCACATAGCATGGTAGTAAGAGAACCAGGAAGCGATATAGACTTGAGCTGAAGCGAGGAGTCCTGTACCTCACTATCATCCTCTTGATCTTTCGCAATGGCTGCAAAATCTATGACCGAGGATGAATCAACTCTGTCGATACACAGACGGGAGAGAGCGTCTGCTGCTGTGTTCTCCCTTCCTGCTATGTGGTGTATCTCAGATGTGTATTGGGATATGAAATCAAGCTGGCGGATTTCACGAGGTGAGTGTCGGTCAGGCTTTGAATTCAAAGCATGGGTGAGAGGTTTGTGATCCGTGTAGATGGTAAATGTGCGACCTTCAAGTAGATGTCGAAAGTGCTTTACACCGAGGTAGGCTGCTAACAGTTCCCGACCGAAAGTGCTGTACTTAGTCTCGGCAGGCTGTAGTCTCTTAGAAAAGAAAGCCAACGGTTGCCAAATACCATCTACCAGCTGTTGGATAGTTCCCCCAACTCCCACATCAGATGCATCAACCAACAGGCATAGAGGAACATCAATTCTAGGATGAACTAAAACTGCAGCGTTAGCTAACTGATCTTTAGCCTGATTGAAAGCAGAAAGTTCTTGTTCACCTAGGGTGATTGGTTGGTTCTTCTTCAATCTATTTTTCAACAGATCCGTGAGAGGCTGGAGTACTTCTGCACACCGCGGAATGAACCGTCTGTAGAAATTGATCAGCCCGAGGAACTCTCGTAGTTTGGTAAGTGATGTAGGTATCAGAAGGTTGCGTGTTCGAATCACGTCGGGGTCACCAGTTTAGGGAATTTAATTCACCTAAATAAAAGAAATAGAAATAGATTTCTTTCCTACCTTGTCTCGTAGAAACACCTGTTGAGTACAGATACTTGGAACATATATTATATCACAAGTAGTAGTTCAAATATTGCACAGCACCCGTAGAAAGAATATGTAAGACCATGTACAAGGTAATGACGCTTCTTCGCGAATTAAGTAAAGAAGAAGAAACTTATAATCTCTATAAAGTAATAAGGCCTCAGAACCGAGTAGAGAAACAAGCGAAGAAATAGGACAAGAATTAAGAAGCTGAATTAGCTTTGCTGTTGATCGATCGACTCTCTAGAATAGGTGTGCTCTATATGAACAGCTCAGGAGAAGTGATCAAAATAGGTGTGGCAAATAAAGCAAGCAAGTGTAATGTCCCTGTACAGTATAAGCTATACCAGTACATTAGGTGGTTGCACATCCCAACCCATAGGGTATGGAATGTGCTTGCCAGAGTAAGTATTTGTGGCACTCTAGTAATGCAACAGGTGTCACTAAAGAAATGAGTGACAATGGAATAAAAGGCTAGACTTCAAGCCACACAATAAAGACAAGACAATAATATTTACAAATGCAAAGTTCTCCAAAGGTCAAGTCACTACAGAGTATCATCGCGGAATCCGTTTTCGCATCGCCCTACGGCTAGCTACATGTGTGTGGATTGGAAATGAGAATCGATGATCCGTATATTTTAGGACGCGTCTGTCCACGTTTACGAAGACGATACCCCTTTATGCGCACGATCTTTATCCTCGGACCAGCGCCCCTACCTACTTCTCATAGTATACCCCCCTCCCTCTCTCTACGTCTCTGTCTCCGTCTCCGAGTTTGACATGACCTCATCTCATTCTCAATCTCACTTCTCAGTTCTCACTCAGCATTCCTCCATTTAATCATCATCATCATCATCATCATCATCAGGTACGGGTAGAAGGCGTTGGCCTGTAATTCCCGGTCACTGCTTCTATAATGTAGGTTTAGCCTGTTGGATTTTCATTCATTCAAATGTATTGAGAAACTTAATTAAGCAGGGAGATTGAGATATTCGTTCATTAATTAATAGAAATAAGAAAATAAGTGAATTTGGTCTAAAATACATAAAGTTATACGATTTTTGTGAGCTAACATATAAACTAATGAATGGGACTTAACAATGGCAAAATTAAACTAGGAAATCTAATTTATAATGACAAAGAGATGTTCCAGTATTCAGCTTACCAGGGCATTGGGTACACCTGTCTTGGATTCTCCTCCACCCCCTGCCACAAGAAAATGGGTGTCATTCATACATTTTATGACATAAGGAGGAAAATCAGTTTCTCCGATGCAAGTTGCCATCTTGTCATTCTTGTCCACGAATGCAGTGTTAATATTTCGCTGCTCTCTCTAGCGCTGTGCTCCATAGGGTTTTATGCAGTAAAATTTGCACCCAGCGAAAAATAGTTTACCATGGTTATTTTAGACGCTCGAGCTCGCCAAACCCGATCGAAGAGCAACAACCGTAAAGTCATCATTATCATCAATTCATGGTAATTGACGTATTTAAGAATTATGTGATTTGTTGTGTTCTAAAATTGAATTTGTTTACGTTGTTTTTTCTTCTATAACATAACGAGATTTATTATTTTTTGACTTGTTCTGGGTGAGTTTATGTGACACTGCAGTGCAGAGCGATTGTGTGTCTGTGGTCTGTAAGTGTGATGAGACGCGGGTGCGGTCCCGTAATAATTCCGGACTGGACTCGGCCCGGCTCTGATGTCCCATCTCGTCTGGTGTCGTTGGCGCGGGCTGGACTTTAATACTGCTTTAATTACAAGCTCGGCGATTAATGACATACGAAATTGATATCTTCAAACCATACATGTTATTTAGCATACACCCGCCTGTGTGGAGAGCTATACAGAAGTGAAATATAAGCATGATCAGTTCAAATATCTTGCAATGGCAATGCGCACACACAACATTTTGAACTTAATCTTCATTTTCAGTTTCAAACTAGAGTCTAGATCTAGATTCTAATTTCTATACTAGATCTAGTCTACCTTCTTCGACGTTAGCTGAAGCCTTCAGTTAGCAACTTGCAAAACTGAGTAAGGATGCAATTTTTGACTGACACAAAAATGTCTTCAGGAACTTGTGATGAAAAGTGATAGGCCTACATGATGAACTCCGTGCCAATATTTGGTCATCAAACGTCACATTCCTTTTCCCCATATTCCAGAATTAAAAATTGATTATTTTCTGAAAAAAAGAGCATATCCCTGTCAAATTGATACCCCAAAACGAAAAGATGAAATCATCTAGAATAAAAAATAGGCAATGTCTATTTGGTAATTACGTTGGAACTGAAATATACAGATGCTATCTGTTGCTAGTTAAACCTCATCTCGATCAGAAATATTGCTAATGATATATCAACTTCCAAATCAATTATTTTATCATTCACTTAGCTGTATTCATGAAATCTAAGTCAGAAACAGCCATGCCATGTCTTCGAGTCAAGTTCAAAGAATAACTTCCATTAATTTATGGAAATCATTTTCATGTTTTTTTTTGGGTAGTCTGAAAATTTGATGAAAGAAATATCAATATATAACTTTGAATTAATTAATAATGTCCACATTTAAATGATTTTTATATTGGAGTCTCTTTAATCAGTTATACTTGTCGTGCTTGTTGAGTAAATTCCTTTTAGAAATATGTGACCAGGCATCACAAAACAACTAAAAAGTTGCCAGACATGCTTCATTAAATGAGGTCTGATTTAAAAAAAAAAAAGGAGATTCTCAGCGCAAATAGTGGCATGAACATGGGTCCACACACCATTCCAGCAATTCATGACACTCCTTGTAGTCACTCGCCTCACCTACCATCCCTGTATAGCTTCCTGAGTGAGCTGCCAAAGGGATTACCCAACCAAGTACCAAGTACGGCTTGCCATAGTTAAGTCCAACTTAAAGTCGATCTTAGTCTTATGGCCAAGTATTGATATCAATGCAACAGCTTACTCCATTCTAAAGTTATAGTTATAGTTAAAAGAGTCCAGTAACCAGAGTCACAACGAGATTACAACAAACTCAATATCAGACAATCATAGGTCTACCAAAACTGCCAAAAATACCACTTGCAGATCATTTTGTGCTTTCAAACCTTTACATTAAAATAGATAGAGGAAAGTACATACTCTTTCAGGAAATACTAAAGAAAAACTTGACCAACTTTACCCAATACACCTTTATTGAGCTCTTATTGAAAATCACACTACCGGTATGTGACATTTTGGTTGTTCTGTGGTGCATGGTAACATATAAAGACCTATTAAATGTAATCGAGATTCTACATTTCAGCATTACACTCTTTATTTCAAAGATAACCAGTTTTTAAATGTCAGTAGATCAAGTAAAAAGATTAAGAAAATCAAAATGAGAACAGTCAAATGGATTTTATAAAACAAAGCTTACAATCTGACATTTAGATGCTGCTTGTAAGTATTGGCTTGCATGGTGATGTAGATATACAGTACTAAAGTAGGCTTGCGGGTGCACCATGTGAGAGAGAGAGAGAGGGAGGATTAGCAAGTCCTGAAAAGGACTCTCGGTTATCTTTCTTGAGGGTGTGTAGTCCTGAAAAGGACTGTTGGTATAGTCTTAAAAAAGACTGTTGGTTATCTTTCTTAGCATATAGTTCTAAGGAGAACTATAGCGCTTGGAGAGGATGAGTGGCGGGAGTGGCTGACATTTGACACATGCAGTATTTAAAACAAAGGATAATGAACAAGGCCACACAAATTGCTTTTCTTTGTGAATACAATGTACATTGTATATAGTGTACAGAAAATACATTTTGTAATTTGAATATTGAAATTTTTTGTATTTTGTACTACCATATAAATATTTGTAAAACTTTTAAAACAACAATTTTTTTCACAATGAAAAGATGGGAATGACAGGACACTTCAGGAAAACGATTCTCAAGCAAATGAAGCAACTCATAGTCCCTTTTGCCCATCTGTTTTGGTTCCACATGAAGGGGATAATCATGCATGTTTTTATTATTAAATGTTACAAAATTTTCTTATGAATAAATACAAATAAATATAGAAAACAAAACACTAGCTCTATCAATTTTTATTAAGTTTTTGAAAAGCTGAGTGAGAGGAAACTTTTATCAATACTACATGTACATGTATATTTTATAAAGGGGTCTCGTAAGTATTTTAAATGAGAAATGAGCGACATGAAAGAACATGCAAAAATGTGAATTGGGTGAAGATCTAAATAATGAAAAGTGTGTTGTTGTTTTTTTTTCTTCACAACTGACACAGCTAAAATTGCTTACGTTGCAAAAAACCCTATTCATCATCATCAATGCATACGATTGTACATGTACATGTAGTTATTTGACTGTCCACTCAACATCTTCTTTTATCAAGAGCAAATATATCTGCCCTGAAAATCATTAACAGTCTTTGTATTCTTCATGCACAATTAAACCACATGTATTTGAAAACTGTTGTTGCAGTTCGAATCGCTGGAGGGGTATTGATTTTTGCCATGAAAATCAATGTTGCGAAAAAATAATGTTGAAAGACCTTCCCATTTCAATGTTCTCCCAGACTGTTCAGTAAAGGTTTGCAGGAAGAAATGGTTTGGATGGAGTTTGGCCTGTTACAACAAGTGACATTCAACTCTCGATTCAAATTATAATGCACCTGATGTGTGTTATGTTTGGGGGGAATCTTTTGTTATTCAGTTATGATTATAGGGCCTCGTCGTAGAAAGAGGTGATGTTAATCGCAACTATAAACTAAAATACTTTCTCTCCTGACGACGGATAGTCAACCTGTTCGAAACGTCGAGCTACTCATCCTCTCCAAGCGCTATAGTTCTTCTAAGAACTATATGCTAAGAAAGATAACAAACAGTCCTTTTCAGGACTACACTCCTCCAAGAAAGATTACCAAGTCAGAGTCCTTTTCAGGACTCCTCAAAAATCTCTCTCTCTCTCACACATGGTGCAACCGCAAACCTACTGTATAAAATACTTTTGCGATTGATACTTATCTTGTTGTTGTTGTTGTTGTTCTTCTTCCTCCGCTATTTCGCAACTATGTGTTTATTTAAAGAGATAGGAGACTGCAAACTGAGGATTGATTGGAGGGCTTGATTGAGTTGGATCAATCACAACTCTTTATAAGATGGGGCGAAGATCTACATGTATATTAAGATCAGAATTAATACCAAATTATCACTTTATCATTGTGGTATCCAGGGGGCACTGATGTGTTGACCTTATTTTTTTATGGGAGAGAGAATTTTGAGTTAAAATAGGTGCTCTATTGATGACAGACCACCTAAATACAAATTGCATGAGATAAGAATGTTGATGACTTTGTAACTTCCAAGAATAAAGTAGGAATAAACAGGAAATTATGGATGTGTAGTTAAAAAAAAAAATGCAATATTTGTTACCATACATGTACTTTCATTCCATTTTATACCTGCTGTTTTTTTTGTTATCAGGTATGCTACAGTACCAGTTTTAGCTCATCGGAGATGTGCATGATTACCTAATATTTGTGACCAACAAATCTGGATCCAATCTTCATGAGAGCTACTTCGATTAGACCTCTATCTTGCCTTTAAAGTGACCTTCCAACAAAAATGGCAAGATCTGGAGCAACCCACATCAACAAAAGTAATTTTCTAGAAGGGAACCACTCCCAGATCTGTACAGAAGTCCCCAGAATCACCAGCATGTGTACATCAAGATAACAAAGTTTTAAATAATTAAGAACATTTGAAAAAGAGTAGAACTGCAGAATCCTCTTTTATAAACTACATGAACACCTATAGGTTGTGTCAGACGACGATCTTGCCAAGATGGTGAAACTGACTATAGATCTGATTGCCCGTTCGTCCGCAAGCGCACGGAAGAAGAAAGACGAGGGGTTGTCAACGTATCTCAAGAAACTGACGCATCTCTACTTCTCCGAGAAGAGCATTGACGAGATCGTAAGTACATGTACAATAATACATCATTAATTGATAGTATTAATTTCAATTAAAAAAGTTTTGAAAATTGTGTTGTGGAGTTTTTTTTTCTGTTTATGTCTTGTACCTATAGAGTTGTAAAAATGTTTAAAATCTAGAAATGTCTATAAAAAGGGGGCATCTCCGATTCCATGACATTTGCTCCGGCGACAATTGCTCCGCTGTAAATTTCATACACTAATCGAATGGCTAACTTCAACCCTGGATTCAACACTATACCCTACCCTAAACCTAACCCTAAACCTAACATAAAACCCTATTGAAACCCTAACCCTAACCCTACATCTTAGACGAAATAAAGCCCGGAGCAATTGTCGCAGGAGCAAATGTCGTGTCACCGCATCTCCCCCCCCCCCCCCAAGAAAACCCACAGTTTCCTATTTCCATAACAGCCCAAAACAAACCAAATCTTGTTCACATTTTGGATGTGACATTTCAGCAGGCAGATATTTGGCATGGCATTAAAGACACAAAATTGTGAGTCCGTGTAAATGGATAGTGAGTTGTGTGACATGTTTTGGAACAATAGCTCCAAAAATAAACACTTCAAGTCAAATTCACATGGTCTAATGTAAACAAGAAAAGTCTAGTTCTTTCATAGCCATTTGAAAGTTACACCAGAGAGAAGTGCTGAGCAAATATACATTTGAGCTTCTCAGTTACAGAAGAGGTAAACAGATCTACTGACTTTCTTTCTTTTTTTTTCTTTTATTTGAAAGAAAATAAAAGTAGAGAAGGGAAAAGATGGCACTTGAAGAAGCTTGAGCCTAAAGCAACAATTACTACAAAAGGAAAGAAAACATTGATCAATAGATGTACACTGTACATGTACTTTCAGTGTGAAGATTGAAATGGTAGGCTTGAGAGGATTTGAATGGTAGACAATTATTACCTTTTTTTCCTTTTTTTAAATTTTTATCCGGAGCATGCTATTCTTCTCACATACCTTGTACTTCTTTTTTAATAACAGTTTAGATGTCTTGTGTTCATACATGTACATGTACATGTACATGTACATGTAGCCTATTGGTGATTGTTGAATCACTTACACTTACAGTATGTAATCTTACTTTATGGGAACGATTTTTCTTACTTTTGTAGTCATATTGTTCTTGATTTTTGTTCTTGTTTAGTTCCTTATCCTCTTCATCTGTTATTCTTTCTTGTTTTTAAAATTTTTATTTCACCTTGGTTTAGTGTCTACATTTGATAAAACGATCTCAGTGATAAAAAAAAGCGTGCTTTACTGGAAATCTCCTATTTACGTTTCAAATATTGTTTCATGCCTTGATTTAAAGCTGAATACACAATTTTTTATGTTACATTTCAGGATGATCTCTCTCAGTGTCGCAGCCTCTCCGTCCTCTATCTCTACGATAACAACATCTCAGTGATCAAGAATCTTGGCTTTGCTGGAAATCTCACTCATCTCTATCTTCAGAACAACCAGATTACCAGATTGGAAAATCTTACTCCTCTACACAAACTATCTAAATTGTAAGTATATCACTTTGAACTTTCACACCCCATTATGAGTTATCCACATGCATTCATTGAACTCAGACTGTCACTGCTACATGTACATGTACATGTAGGTAACTTCTATACATTTGAATGCTGACCCTGGAATGACATCAAAAAGCAATTTGTGTCATGTGGAAAAGGCAAGAAATAGATTGCAATGACTATCAACTGTTATACATGTACACATATGTATATGTATAGTTGTATTATCCTGTGATCTTCATCTACATGTAGGTTCACTGTATACAAATTATGATAAAAACTATTCAAATGTTACATGTATATTGTGGTGTTAAGACCTATAGCCTTTAAATAATACATTATTACTGGTACATGTAAAACATATTTTCCTGCTATCCTTGATATTAGGGAAAGAACCCAAAACAAATCTCTCTTTTTTTTCCAATTAGGGAAATGTAAGGGACTGCTCAAATCGATTCCATGACATTTGCTCCGGCGACAATTGCTCCGCTGTAAATTTCATACACTAATCGAATGGCTAACTTCAACCCTGGATTCAACACTATACCCTACCCTAAACCTAACCCTAAACCTAACATAAAACCCTATTGAAACCCTAACCCTAACCCTACATCTTAGATGAAATAAAGCCCGGAGCAATTGTCGCAGGGGCAAATGTCGTGTCACCCTCAAATCAGGTAAAATCAGGGATTTGCATTAATTGACCCCCAATGAAAGTACATGTAGTTGGTCTCTCATATTTTGTGTGGTGTCCAAACAGTATATCCAATGGATGATCGACTGTGGTGGCTTTTTAGCATGTAAAATGCCTCCATTCACTGGTCCTAGAATTCGATCCCCCCAAAAGTCATTAATTTCTGTTTCTTTCATGATTATTGCAACTGATCTTCAACAATTTTTGTGTTTGTTTTCCCCCATTATTTCTCAGATATGTTGGAGGCAATAAAATAGCAGTCTTAGAGGGTCTGGAGAAGTTACAGGAGTTGAAAGAACTTCATATGGAGCACCAAAGGTTACCTTCGGGGGAACGGTTACTGTTCGAACCAAGGACGCTGGTAGCATTATCGGTAAGTCAAATAAATTCATCACTTCTCGGACGGGTAGCCCAAATACCCTGACATTTTTAATTTATTTTTGCTATTCGTACGACTGATATAAAGCTCAAACAGGAAGTTTTTAGGTGTTTTTATTTACATGTAGTGCTCATTAGAATGCAATAATGCATTATTTTTTAATAAACAATTGTTACATCATGTTACAAGTTGAAGCACATGTATGAGGTGTCGATCGTGGTCGAGTGGATATGTCACCGGACTGTGGATCACATGGTCTGCAATTTGAGTCCCGCCGCGCGGCACTAATATCCTATCTCAAGACATTAATCTACATTTGCCACACTTGACCCAGGTGAGGTAAATGGGTACCAACATGTAGCAGGAATTAATTCCTTGAAATGCTAGAGCGCCATAATGGCAGCTAGGCTAAAGCTGGGTAATAATTTCCAAATTTAGAAGCACATAGAGACGTTCAAATGTGATATGCGCTATACAAGAACCGAATATTATTATTATTATTATTATTATTATGATCTCTTTGAAAATGAATGCTTCCTCAGATGGGCCTCCAAGTATTGAACATAAGTGGCAACGGCCTGGACGACAGGAAGATTTTAAGTGTTTGAATGTTTTTATTTAGTGCTCATTAGAATGCAATAAAGCATTATTATTTTAATAAATGAACAAGTGTACCACATAAATGTGTTTTTGCAGATGGGCCTCCAAGTGTTGAACATAAGCGGCAACGGCCTGGACGACATCTCGGAGCTGGGCATCCTGCGTAACATCATGCAGTTTGTGGCGTCGGACAACAAGCTCCGGGACATGAGGGCACTCTCCGCTCTCATCGGCTCCTGGCCCAAGATCTGGAGGCTGGAGCTGGTGGGCAACCCCGTCTGCAACAAGGCAAAGTACAGGGACAGAGTGATCGTCATGAACAGTAAATTGGGTGAGAAAGGAGAACCAGTCTTTCCTTTTTCTATGGTAGAAAACAAAAATACAGAGAGAGAGAGAGAGAACCCCTTGTTACAGTTACTTGTTGAACACTTAAATTATAGATCCTTGTTACATTCATGACATTTTTAATCATTTCCTCTTGAGCTATTAGGTTTGCCTCTGAACATTTAGGGATATTATTTACCTCCAATTTACTTCTAATCATGATTCCAGAATGGAAATGACATGATATAAACAGTATCTCTTCCTGTATTATGTGAGATCACTGGCATGTGTAAATATGTTATTGGTTATGGTTGGAAATGCTATAAATTTGATAAAGTTGATGTTTTAGAGTTCTTCTTCTGATGTTTCCCGTTGATTCTCGTAGGGAAGAATCGTATGATAGGGGTGGGACGATCAGAGCTGCCAACCATTCCGTTTTTGCCGGAATTACTCTGTTTTTTCCTCCAAATTCCGGTACTACGTTTTTTCTTCATAAAATACTTTTTTTTTTTTTTTTACATCGGTCTACCGCACGTTAAACAACTGGCCTAAAATGATGATTTGATCACAAATTCATTATAAAACTAAGTTTAAAACATACTTGAAGAGAAAAACATTCTCAAAACGAATGAAATGCCGATATATAATACCCAAATAACAAAAAAAATACCTGCTTGTATGGAAAAAACAGCATGAGGAATGGACATTTCTGCATTTGAAGTGTGTCGCGCGTAGTTGTAAGTTTCAATTTTATGAATTCCTTTTTTTTAATTGAAATTCCTTTTTTTTTGCCATCATGGTTCCTTTTTTTGGTCGCACAAGGTTGGCAGCTCTGGACGATGATAGTCATAATCCTTGATCAAAACATTCACATTGAAGGAGGTACATAGTAGGATGGTGATGAATCAAGATGTTCTATTCAGACTTAAAGGGAGAGGGTCGTCGGTTTCAATGTGCAAAAGGCCATAATTTGCTGACACCAGACTTGGTGGGAATCCCATTAATAGGTGTAAAAGTCTGCACACAGCAAACCCGTAGTCCGATCAAGCAATACCCCCAGTCTCTAGAAGAGTCCTTGGATGAGGGAAACGTAACATAATGACTTCACCATATGGGGGAATGGGTGGAAAATGCAAAGCATTGCATAAGGCATGTTAGTCATAAAACTGAAGGCTTATCCTGGTGTTTGACAACACCTATTATTGGGTTATCACCCAAATGGTGCCGAATTCCCAGTGAAAGCCCACTACTTTGCGTCTTTATCAATCATTGTTTTTGTGTATTTTGTTTAATTTATCTTTTCTTGCAGCTATTTTGGATGGAAGAGAAGTCAGTGATACAGAGAAGAACTTCTTGATGAGCTGGAAGGAAGCGAAAGACGCTAAGAAACGGCAACGGATAGAAGATGCCACTAGGATCATGGAGAGCAATCAAGAATACATTATGCAACCACGTAAGCACACTGTTGATTTAATCTCATAAGGCCCCCTTCATCAGCTCGAGTTTGCCAGATAACCCGCTATTTTATTAGCCAGTTAATTTGCGTCTTCATCAGCCCGCAGTTGCAATTAGTTGGATATTTGGTCGAGAAATTATCCCAAGAATTCTTGGTCTTATTTCCCAAATATCCCGCTATTCTAGAATTTTGAGTCCATAAATAAGCGGGTTATTTGGCAAACTCAAGCTGATGAAAACAGACCTATAGCCCACCAACTGCATACCTGCCAACCTTCCTCCAAGAACTAGGAATCTCTTGAGGCAAACTTAGGAAAATAGTCCATTATGCATTTTCTCGTTCAAAATGTTTGAAACTTATTTCATTGTATATTGGATATTACTTCCTAAAAACAGACTTTTTGTATTGCTCATTGTTAGAAATTTGAATGTTGACCATGTTTTTATAGCTGAATAAAAAACAAACCAAGATAACTTGAATGTACCTGAATCAAATTTGGAAATCGCTTTAATATTATATCGCCCTCTATTTTGCGTAGAACGTGAGCTTCCCCCTGTCTTGCCACCCAATGGCTCCCGCTGGAATCGGACGGCCGCCCTAAACAAGGTCTACATGATGCCCGGCATGGTCGGGGGCAAGAAGAAGTTTGATGCGGTGGTGGCCAAGTCCCACATGCCTGCCTCAGCCCCTCATGGAACCAGAACGAACCCCCTGGATAGCCTCACCCTTGGTCGAAAGAGCTATACAGATTTAGAACGACCATCCAGGTATATGTTTAAAGGCATCATTTAACAATGTTAAATCTGAGATGCATGCCCCTACCTGTTATCAGTGTCTGTGATATGGTGTAATATTGAAGCCCTAAACAATTGCGCGCCAAAATGATCATGAAGTGCCTCAAAAAAGAAAAATCTTTGAGTGACTGGTTTTACCATACCAATTTTCCACACTAGACTGCAGTGTGATAAAAAGTGTTAGGAAAACGGAAAATTTGATTTCGATTTCAAATCATAAATATCTTGATAATCAGACAGGGGATTGGCTTGTAAAAGTCATGGGATTCCTGACAGGCCTAAAGGTTTATGATTATCATTGCTGCATGGGCTAAATCCAGGATTCTGTTTAGAATCTGAGGCAAAGATACCCAATCCCTTTAAACAAGCAAGCATTAAGTTCCTTTACTTTTTACTTTTTCAAAGGAAACATGAATCTTATGTGGTGATGAGCAAATCTGTTGTTCAGTTGGTAGATTTTATGTACATGTACATGTATGTCTGTATCTTGGAGTGTCGTCTCTACATCTATCCTGTTTTTCCTTTTAAAGTTGACCCGTTAATGTTTTTTCGTATTTTTTTGCTTGTTATCCAGAAATATGCCGATACCTCCGCAACCTCCAGTCTTCCTGCCAGATGAGCACGGCATGAATGGCTATCCGAATGGAGAACCAGACTTTAATCTAACTGGACACGTCATTTCCATCTCCTAAAACACCCCTGCTATCACGTAATGGACTCTTCGAGCTCACTGAAATAGGCATTGGTGTTGGAACAATCTATTGTGAACAGAGGGAATATTTTTGCCTCGGTGAAACCTGATGTATCAATAACCTAATTTTACGCATGGCATCTTCATCCTGTGAAACACCCCTATCTTAAAATGGACTCTTCCATTATACACTGAAATAGCTTCAGGTGCTGGAGCAGTCTATTGTTAATAGAGGGGAGCTGATTGCAGAAGTCAACCTGATGGATTGGCTACCTTATCTTACGCATGTCATCTTCATGCTGTGAAACACCCCTAGTATCTAATAGTTGACTCTTCCAGCTCACTGAAATAGACTCAGGTATAGGAGTAGTCTATTGTGAATGGAGGGGGCATTTGCCAGGGCTTAGTAAAAGTTGATGAATTGGCAATGTCATGACCCTACGCATTATCTTCATTCTTTGAAACACCCCTGCTATCACGTAATGGATTATTCCAGTATACTTTATCATTGCGTGGTGTAGTAACAGTCTTTTGTGAACAAAGGGTGTACTCTTTGCAGTACTGGATTGTGATGCAGTGATATTAACTTGATGTTTGATATACATTATATCTTCATCTTCTGAAAGACCCTGCTATTACATAATGGAACCTTCCACACTGAAATAGTTTTTGGCGTTGGACCAAGGGAATTTGAATAAAGGAGTGGGAAAGAGGAGAGTATTTCTTACCTTTTGCATGAGTGTTTTAAGATGCATCTTAAACTTCTTACAGGACAAGTGATGTCCAACTTCAGAAACACCCCCACTTTACCTAAATGGACTATCCCAGTGCACTGAAATGTTGTTTAGCTGTGGTGTAGTCTATTATGAAAAGAGGGAGTAATATCTTGCACAAGTGCTGTAAAAACTTGGCACACATTTTGTGGATCAGAGCCCTGTTTCATAAAACCTGTTATCAATAACAAACTACATTAACTGTTCTAAGCTACTGAAATCATGGCATTTGATTGGCTGACAGCAAATTAGTCATAGAAAGTCAGCATTTGTTATTAACAATAAGTTTCATGAAACGGGGCCCAGATTTTGCTGTGATCATGGCGACATTGTGATATAAAAGCAAGGCTGGTATTCTGAGCATGATTTTATCTCTTATGTATTTTATTTTATCTTTGAAAAATAACCAGTGTTCCGAGACCACTTTTTATCTCCAATTTCGTCTTTCAATTGTATGATACTGTCTTACTTCTTGCATGTCCGTTTCAATTATATGCGAAAATAATATCAATAGCAATTATAATTCTTCTCCAAAACCAAACTTCACACTCATACATTCTCCAGAAGGAAAGGCCATGCTTTCAGTAGTCAAGAATAAGACGATGACTTGGCATTTTTTTTTCCCCCTTTTTTTCCCCCTTTTTTTTGTGTGCTATCGTTGCTACATGCTGGAATTGTACACCCATTAATTGGGAACTCCACCATGTCCTGCGTAAGCAAACTGTGATGCATTGCACATAGAAAGTCCCTAAGGATTGCCTTTAATGTCAACATATTTAATTGCTTGTAATTTGTTCCTTGAATTGCTCAAAGACAATGTGTATTCCGTCCATGTAACTCAGTGAAATATCAAGATAAAACTGGCAAGAATAGGTTCTGCTACTTGTAACAGAAGTTTTTATATATGTTTATGTTATGATTACATAGTAATGCCTTATATTAACTTCGGTTTTGTTTGCAATATTGACAGTATTTGTTATGTCTTGAGGAAATTCAGCACTATGTTCTATTTGGATGGGTCTTTTGTACATATTGCTTCTTTTTTTCCCCAAAAAATCTACTGCAATTAAAGATTCATTTATATAAATTCTGCAATGTTGATTCATTGTAGTGTTCCAATATTCAGATAAATTGGAATTGATTGTTTATACTGATGTTCTGTAAATTTTATGACAAGGTGTTAAATTATTTGAATTTTGTAAAAGTTAGACTATCTTTATCTGTATATTGGTGACTCACATTGGTTTTTCTATAATATAATGCTGTACTTGATTTGTGATAAATATGTCTGTCTTAATTTGACCCACTTATTCAACAAACTTCTTTCAAAGAGAAATTAACCATTTAAGTTGGCTTAGGTTGAAACAGTAAATCTGAGAATACAAGATAATGAACCTTTTTTGAAAATGTTGAGCTATGCTAGTGTGATGCCATTCTTGAAGATATTTCCCATTTCTTTATAATTCAAAATTGTTTAAAGTAGCTCTTTTCTTAGCTGTTGCAATGTAACTGATTCTGACATTCTTTGATAGGAGTATGTATAAAGATATAATCTTATCAGAGCCTGATTGATGTTAAATCTTTAAAAGTATATGAGTTTTATAATGCCTTCAGACTCCAAACTGATGATATAAATATCCCCCAATGATTCATAGAAAATAGCAAATAGAAAATTTCCCATTTACATGTATGATATTACCTACCGGTTTATAACCAAATAGGCATTGAAAGATTTTCCAAACTGGTAATGGTCTTAACTTGAAAATGTATAACTTTCATATTTGTCTGATTTTCTCAAACTATAGAACCATTGTGTTTTCTCTGATTTCTCTACTTTTACTCAAATCTCTTTTTGTTTGAATGAAGTTTTAATGTCCATATGAAGATGGAACCTACCATGAGACATTCCTTATCTCTGTACATAGACTCATAAAGAGTATGCTCCAAAACTTCAGTGAAAAGTAAAAAGAAATTGAAGATTGGTTGGAAGGATATTTAATCTGTGACAAATTTGATAACATTTGGGCATTAATAGACCATAGAAATTAATAATTATATACTTTGCTAATTTGTGCCTCTTTTCATCTCAACTTCCTCTGTTTTTTAAAACAAAGAAAGATTGAGTATCATTGTTTCCTCCAACTATACTCTTTCATCGATCCAGTCTACTTTACTTATTTATTTCATCAAACAATTGTTCATGTTTTAATACTATAAGTTTCTTTGTCAATCTCCCTTATGTCTCTCATTTTTCTCTCTTTCATCTTTTGCTTGTATTCCCTGTCTCTCATTCCTTCTCTCTCTCTCTCTTTCTTTCTCTCTCTCTCTCTCTCTCTATCTATTTGCCCATCTATCTATCTCTATCTCTTTATCTGTACCCTTCCCCCTCTCTCTCCCTCTCTCTCCCTCCCTCTCTTTCTCCCTCTCCCTCCCTCCCTTCCTCTCTCTCTCCCTCTCTCTCTCCCTCCCTCCCTTTCTCTCTCTCTACCAGCTTCATTCTGGGCTCTCTTGTAAATATTGCTTCACCATCATTGATTTCATTGAGATTCATAAATAATGTGTATTCTGACATAGTTTTTATATGGTTTCTGCATTTTTTTACATTTTTGTTTACCGCTTCAAGAGATTCACGAAACAATGCATTAATGATTAACAAGTGTACATGTCTAATATGTTTTCAGATTGAGAATTTGATATATATTACTGTCATTAACATGAATGAGAATAGTCAATTGGTTTATTTGGATTATTCACTTGCAATTGTATGATTTGATGGATCATGTTTTGACATTTGCAGTTTGGAGTTACTCACTAAAGGGATATAGACTTAGAAAATTACAGTTGTGCATTGCTTTGAACGAGATATTATTTGCCATGGTCACAACTTACTTTGCATCGTTTTGCATGTGCAGATCTGTGCCGGGACTTTCTGCGAAATCTATCGTAGACCGGACGCAGACCGAGCGCAGACAGGTGCACGGCAAGTTGCGACCATGGCAATAGGTGACACATACCGGTATATTATCTTTGAAGTTGAAACACACTGGAGCTTGTATTTATTAAGGTACACAATTAACTTAGGCCTATGCTGATTTTGGGAGCACTTTTTTTTATTATATATTTGCTGTAATTATATGACAAAATGAAAGGGAAATGAATTCAGTCATGATGTGATTTTTGTTGTCATAATGATATGAATGTTTTCTCTCCATGTAATCACAGAATTATGGCAAAGTGAAAAAGTTGAAACTTAGCAGTCCATTATTCAGTACACTTGTCTACCCAATTGGTACAGGCTTAAACATGCACTCAGTGTTACTGCATGGAAAAAGTATGGACTTTATGAATACTGGATCAAGTGCCTTTGCTACATTTACCAGTATTTGATACAACATTGTATTTATGCATTATTTAACGGGATATTTGATTTTATTATGTGAAACTGCACCTAAATGAGTGCAAAGAGGATTGTGTTGCACATGCATAATATAATAATATATGTGTAAACAGAAAATTATTATTTGCACTCTGATTTGATATAGTATGTTGCTCTATATTCATCTTTTTTGGTGGAAAAGGTAAAATAATTTCATAAACTGGTATATTTCTGTGGCCAAATAAAGTTTGACTATCATTCCATTCACTTTCCAGTGATGTGATCAATGTTTTATTTCTTCTTGCATTTCTTTTACATTTTTCTTGGATATGATATAAATATTGAATGCTCCAGAGTAACTAGTCTACATAAAACAAAATATACCAGCTGAAGAATTCAGAAATTGATAAGAGAGAGGAAGGGAGGGAGGGAGGGAGGGAGGGAGGGAGGGAGGGAGGGGAGAGAGAGAGGGAGAGAGGGAGAGAAACATGACTGTAACATATGAATCGAGATACACACAAAACGGTCAATGATTTTATGTAGACAGCCTGTCTGGAATCTACAAATTGAAAAAAAATTGAACAGCGACAAATTTTGTTTCCCCTTCTCTTTACTGCTTCCATTAAATTTTCATAATGCAACTTGAATTTGGCGTAAATATTCATAAATGAATGATACACGTCAATAAAAACTAAAACAACAACATTAGATTAAAAAATGTAAAAGAAGGATTGAGTACGTCTGCAATGCAGACTACGTGCTATCTTAAGCTGATGTGAATATGGCCGCGGTGATGCCGGTGTTCACGTAGATCTATCGTCTTCATGCATTTGGAAGATACGTCGATTTTGCGATTTTGAGCTGGAATATTGATCATAAACATGTTTACACACATGATTTAAGGTACCGGTAAGTAAAAATTTGCTTTCCTTTGTCTTACGTGCAAAATGTGATCGGTTTAAACAAAAACCTAAGTGATGCTGTCTTGTTTTGGCCGTTCCGCGAGTGATTTGTTGCAAGATGCCTACTGGTATGCGCCTAGCCTGCACGCAACCTGTGCCTGTGATGTGCTGCTGCTACTGCTAGCTGTGGATACCGGTAGCTGTGGGTGAGCTGCATGGGCCTAGCCTGCATCATTGCGTGCAGCCTCTCCGTATAGTAGCGGAGCCTGACGAATAGCATGAACGAGACGTATGGACGGGCCTTCAACGGCGCTATGTATGCCTATATGAATGATTGGTTTTGCCGTTTTGCGTGATTCTATTACCAGGGTCCACTCATTGTCATTTAAGCACAGTCCAATTGATAAATGATTGAATCCATAATTGCTGAAAGATGCAGGACATTGTTATTGTTATGTAGAAAAAACAAATTTATCTATCCAGTGACCAGTCTGACTCTGACTGAGTCTGATCTGAAAGTGAAACTGAAAGTAAATTTTATTTCATTTGAGTGAAAGCAATCTGAACTTGAAGCAAGTTTTTGTCATCATGGTCATTGACATTTTTGTCAATTAAAGAGAAGGTTGAGTTCTGGGAAGAGGTGAAAAATAATTTGTGAGCATTACTCATTCTTATTATGCAAGTGTGGAAGAACATCAGTTAATACATGTTCCCTGAAAATCATGGCTCTTCAAATGCCTTCATATTCTAAATTATGCATGTAACATCGTAAAAATCGGGGGGAGGGGGGGGGGGCCGGATTTTTACGCCACGTGTTCGTGCAGTCCCATATACATCTTTCTGTGCAAGTGTTTGTAACTTTACCAAGACTTGGCCAAATTTAAATCATTTTGATGATTCCAGAACCTTGCAAAACACAAATGCTTATATGCTAGATGATCAACCTTTTCTGGTCGGTTCCACACCGTTTCTTTCACAATGCAATCGCATGACCAGAACTCAACTTCGTCTTTAATGCCGACAAATCGCGTCCTAAACAGTAAGGATTGTCCCTTTTCTTTGGCGCTCTGCGTGTGTAGGATTATCGATCCGCGCACTGGTAATTAAGGGGAATCCCTTGTTCACTGTCTACTTTTACATGTTGTCTGGGCAATATCGTGAAATAGGCCCCACAACTTACCCGTCTTGTAATCGATTACATATCATCTTAGACCTCTAACTTCAGTCTTCAGCCAACTCACTTTGTGATCGAGGCCCCGCGCAACAGCGTTGCATGTTTTATTGTTCTACAACCCGGACATGGGGCCTGTATCACGACTATTCTGTATACCCGTGAACAAGGGCCCATCCTCTGCATTTTCATGACGGAGAGCACGGCAGTGGGGCTTCTTTCACCGAAGTATTTAGGGGTGTTTCGAGGTTTATTTTAGAGGGAAAGGATTTAAAAGGGAAATAAAAGTGAGTTTAAAGGGGGGTTGAAAGGGACTTATTTTTTAAATAAAAACTAGGAAGAGGGGAGGGGGGGTGCACTAGGGGCCAGTTGAAAAGATATTAAAAAAAGGAAAAATATTAAAATAAAACAAAAATTTAAAGAGAGGGGGCCAAAATATTTAAAAAGGAGATATTAAAAATAGGAAAAATATTAAAATAAAAGATAAATTTAAAGAGAGGGGCCAAAATATTAAAAAAAGAAAAACATTTAAAAATGAAAAATATTAAAATAAAAGATAAATTTAAAGAGAGGGGCCAAAATATAAAAAAAGGAAAAATATTGAAATAACAGATAAATTTAATCATTTAAATTTAAACCTTTTTAATCCTTTCCTAGCTCTATTAAACCTTGAAACAGCCCCTAAATTATACTTCGGTGAAAGAAGCCCCACTACTGTGCTTTCCGTCTTGAAAATGCATAGGATGGGGCCTTGTTCAAGAGTACATAGTATAGTCGTGATACAGGCCCCATGTCCGTGTTGTAGAACATGCAACGCCGTTGCGCGGGGCCTATATCACGAGTATATATATAGCGAGTTGAATAGGAGACTCGTATAGTATACTCGTGATACAGGCCTCGCTGCCGTGTTGAATTGTGCGCGATGCCGTAGCGAGGGGCCTCGATAACGAGTATATAAGTATATTTGTGATACAGACCCCATGTCAGTGCTGTAGGACGCGCAATGCTGTTGCGCGGGGCCTCGATCACAAGTACATTTATATATAGTGAGTTGGCTGAAGTTAGAAGCCTAGTATAAAATTATAATCGATTACAACAGTTGCGGGGCCTATCAGGAGTATATTTTTCTTGGACCAGTGCTCTTCAGGCCCGATAAAAACCCGATTTAAATCTGTTTCCCAATATTTTTCTGATTTTTTTTACAATTTTTTTTTTCTTCCCTATTTTATCCTGATTTTCCCGATTTCACTCTTATTTTCTCTATTCTTCCCTATTTTGCCCTATTTTCCCCCAATTTTTCCCTGCGAATCCCTTTTTTTTTTAGTGCTCACTATCACCCCTGGCTCTAATTACTGTATACATTTGTATTTGTATAAATTCCCCAAAACAGGACACTACAAAATTAAACAAATCACTGTTGACTGACAGTGTAAGA